AACTCACAATTATTGACAAGCACACCTAAAACAAAAGCAAACTAAGAGGACAGCTAAATCAGGAGTGGAGCCATAGAAATGGGGATCACAGGGAGGAGGAGAAGGGGAGAAGGTACAGAGAATAAGTAGCATAGATGGTAGGTAGAAAATAGACAGGGGGAGGGCAAGAATAGTATGGGAAATGTAGAAGATAAAGAACTTGTGACACATGGACGTAAACTAAAGGGGGGATGGTGGGGGAGGGGGTATGCAGGGTGGAGGGGAATGAGGGGGGAAATGGGACAAGTGTAATGGCATAATCAATAAGATATTAAAAAATAAAAAATGTTGCATTAGAGCAACTAATAAGGACAATTCAAGCATGATGAAAATGGAATGACCAGGCAACTAGACAAACACTATAGCAAAAACAACAAAAGAACCTAGCATACAAAGACAGACCTAGAAGAAAAAAACTTAAGGAAAGGAAGGAAATTCTTCTCAGTTGTTCCACTAGTAGAGCAGCACTAGTATAGAACTCTGCTAGTCATATGGGACTATTTATATTTAAATTAATTAAAATAGAAAATGTCTAGTTCTTCACTTACACTACACATATTTCAAGTACTTAATATCTGCACTTAGCTAGTAGATACCATGTTGGACAGCACATAAATATTTTTATCATCTTAGAAAGTTTTTTTGGACAGTGCTGCTCTGGAGAAAGTTAATAACATTAATCAGATAAAGTAAAATTCAAAGGAAGAACTAATAAAACAAAAGAATGAGATGAAAAAGGAGATTGCAGGATTAAGGCAACAAATTGAAGATTAGTGGAGCTAGTAAATTAAACAAAAGCAAGGAACAGAGTAGACATTGCTGGAAATTAAATTACAGACATTAAGGAAAGATTTGGAGTAATATCACATGAAAAAAGGCTTTAAGAGACAAGCCAGTAGTAAAAAGAGAACCCCATGAATGGAATAGAAGATACGTTTAAGCATATTTTCCTGAAAGGACAGGATCGAATTGTAGATTGAATATGTACACAAAGTTCTAGAAATACTTGAGACTTTAAGGACAAAGAATTCTTTAGGCAGAAAAGAGCAGGTTATATTCAAGGGGAAAAGCCAGGCTTCTACAGCAACATTTCATATAATGCCTATAAAATTCTGAGGGAAGGAAGTATGGTCACAGTACTTACCAGCCCAAGCTATTGTTCTAATGTAAAGGCAGCAGGTAGGTATTCATACATGTGAAAAAACTAAAAAAATGTGAGACCTATAAGTTCATCTGGAAGAAAACAGCTTGACAGTAAATCTCAGCCAATTAAGAGAAAATCGAAATGAAGAATTCAGGAATGGAGAAGCTTGACAAAAGAATTAATGATAAACACTGACTCCATTTAAATGCAGAACTAAAACAACCGTATGGACTATGGTTACAGAAGTGAATGTAAATGTGATTTGGTTGAACAAAGTAAAAGTAATGTAACAGCCCTGGCCTGTGTAACTCAGTTGGCTGGAGCTTTGTCTCATAAACTGAAATGTTGTGGATTGGATTCCCAGTCATGGCACATACCTAAGTTACAGGTTCAATCCCCATTCCAGGCACCTATGGGAAGCAACCAGTCAATGTTTCTTTTTCACACTGGTGTGTTTCTCCCACTCTCTTTCCCTCCCCCTTGCTCTAGAGTCAATAAACATGTCCTCAGATGAAGATAAAAAGAAGTAAATAAAGTAATAATAAAATATAGAGGTGGAGAAAGGAGATCGAAGAAGAATGAGAATAATGTCTTGATCAATAGAAATCATCTAAAATTGAGACATAGTTAAAAATAAAAAACATGACTACAACTAACTATGTATTTTACTTTTTCTGTTTTAGGAGATATATTTTGTAAAGAAATACTAGAAGTTCAAAAATTCCTCCAGCCTAATTTTCTTTATTATTTTGAAGTATAGCTAAATTTAATACTTTTAATAATGGCATATGTAGCATGATCTTATTTTTTTCCTAAATTTCTTTTTTGTTATCCTGTATATATAAGTACATATAAAGACATGTGTAATGATCACTTAGTATTTTAATGGTAATTTTGGATTTGGAGTAATTTTTAAAACCTCTGTATATTTCTGTGTTGTTTGAGTTTTTTATAACAGTGGAGAGTTTTGTTTTTCTAAAAAATAAAATCTATAAACAAATATGCCAAGATGTTAACAGTGGTAAATTTTGGATAGGAGTATATGTAGTTATAATATTTTGTCTGTCTTTTCCTTATAAATTCTTCTGTTTATTTTAAAACTTAAAATAGACTTCTGGTTAAGATGGAGGTGTAGGTAGACACACTTTTTCTCCTTGTACAGCCATAGAAAGAATTACAACAAGATTGCAAAACTAATAACTCCAGAACCATCAGAAAATTAGCTGTATGGAAGTCTGACAACCAAGGATTTAGAGAAGACACATTCCTCCAGACGGGTAGGAGGGGTGTAGTCTCAGAGATGGGTGGAAAGGCAGTGTGGTGCAAAAAGTTAGTGGTGGCAGCAGAACAGATGGGAGGGATGCCTTTGGAGTGAGTGATCTTAACCCCAGGCTGTGCAGCCCAGAGTTCCAGCACTAGGAAGATAGATCCTCATTACTTCTGGTTATAAAAACCAGCAGGGAGTGGGGTGGCAGAAGAAACTGCCGGATTTTTGCTACTTACAGGGCCAGCATGGTCTTAGAATGTATGCAAACCTACCCACTCCAGGATTTACCACCAGGGCAGCAGATGGAAGGGCACCAGTTGCACATGGAAGAGGTTGAAGTGACTGGAATGGGCCGAATGCCAGCCGAACTGCCAGAAACCGGGTGGTGTCATTGTCCCCTCTCTTAGCTTTTCCCAGAAAGCCACAAAGTGGTGAAATAGGTTCCCCACCCTAGCAATTACCTAAGGCTCCTCCTCACACATTTTACAGGTGCCTTTTTTACACAGGCCACACTACTAAGAAAGGAAGTAAAAGCAGCCTCTACCTAATACATAGAAACAGAGACAGGGGGGCTGCTAAATTGAGGAAACAAAGAAATATGGCCCAAATGAAAGAACAGAATAAACCCCCAAAAAAGAACTAAGTGGAATGGAGATAGCCAACCTACCAGATGCAGAGTTCAGAACACTAGTTATCAGGATGTTCAGAAAATTCCTTGAGTATAGCAGAAAAATAAAGGAAGAAATGATGGTTACACTAAGTGAAATAAAGAATAATCCACAGGAAACCAACAGACAAAGGAAGGAAGCTGGGATTTAAACCAATGATTTGGAACATGAGGAAGAGATAGACATTCAACCAAAACAAAAAGAAGAAATAAGAATTCAGAAAAAAACTAGGGTAGGTTTATGAATCTCTGGGATGCCTCCAAACATGCCAACATCCAAATCATAGGGATGCCAGAAGGAGAAGAGGAAGAGCAAAAAGTTGAAAACTTATTTGAAAAAATAGTGAAAGAAGACTTACCTAATTTGGCAAAGGAACTAGACATACAAATCCAGGAAGTACAGGGTCCCAAACAAATTGGACCCAAGGAAGGACGCATCAAGACACATAATAAAAATGCTAAAGTTTAAAGATAAAGAATCTTAAGCAACAAGAGAAAAGTAGAGAGTTACCTACAAAGGAATTCCCATAAGACTATCAGCGGATTTCTGAAAAGAAACTTTGCAGCAAGAAGGGATTGGCAAGATGTATTCAAAGTGATGAAAAGCAAGGACCTAAAACTTAGATTACTCTATCCAGCAAAGCTATCATTTAGAATGGAGGGTCAGATAAAGTGCTTCCCAGATAAAGGATCTGGGAAAGCTAAAGGAGTTCATCACCACCAAGCCATTATTACAGGAAATGTTAAAGGAAGTTATTTAAGAAAAAGAAGAAGATCAAAACAAGGAATATTAGAAAGACAAAAAATTCACAACTCTCAACAACTGAATCTAAAAAAATAATAATAAGCAAACAACCAGAATAGATACAGAATCCTAAATATGGTGATCATTTGGAGGGTTATCAGCTGGGTTGGGGAAGAGGAAGATTGGAGGAAATGGTGCAGGGATTAAGAAGCATAATTGGTAGGTACAAAACAGACTGGGGCATGTTAAGAATAATGTGGGGAATGGAGAAGCCAAAGAACTTACACACATGACCCATGGACATGAACTAAGAGGAAAATTCCTGGAGAGAATGGGGGTGCCAGGTGGAGGGTGGGCAAGGGGGGGAAATTGGGGCAATTATATTAGCATAGTCAATAAGATATAAAAGATTAAAATAAAAAAAGAAGAAAACAAAAATGGTGTGGAGTATTCTGGAGCAAACTCAACCAGATTTGGAGATGATAGTTGCTTTGGTTCATAATATAATGTATGGCATAGAATATAACTTAGATAAGAAAAGTGTTGATTTAATGCAGTTGTGGAAATGGAAATTCTTACATGTAAAATATTCATGTGGAAACTCAAATACATGCATTTTCACGGTGTATTTAGAAGACAAAATATTTCTAAACTCTTATTTTGTTCTAGTACCTAATACTTTGTGAAAATTATTCCAAGAATTCTAGGTGTGCCCACATAGCAGCATACTGAGGAAGCAAAATGATAATGGTATTTGATACATTTTTTTGTGTGTGGTAAGGAATAATACTGTACATAAAATAAAAAGTAGACCTCTCAATTCCTGACAGTTTTGTGAACTGAAGTTATCCTAAGTAGTGATTTATTGTCTTCTGTATAACAAAAAAAAAAACTATCTAATTTCAAAAAGAATGAAACTGTTAAAGTAAATGTGACTTCTTGTTGGATTGAATATTAGAAAAAAAGTAGCTTAGTGATAGTTTAAACTTTCTAGTTCTGATTTTCTGAGTGGGAGGTGGGTACAATGATAGACTTAGTAAAGACAATATAATACAGATGTAAATTGTTTAATGACACCATGACATTTACTGCTTTTCACTAGTTTTTGGCCCCGTTCCCTTCCCCAACTCTCTTCCAGACTCACCAGCCTAAAGAAGATGGAGTTTATGTTTTTCAGCCCCATAGTCAGCCGGTGAGCTGTCTTTACTTCTCACCTGCCAATCCGGCTCACATACTTTCACTGAGCTATGATGGCACACTACGCTGTGGGGATTTTTCCAAGGCTGTTTTTGAAGAGGTAAATGTTAATGTGTTTACATGTTGATCTCATGATATTCTGGATTTTTTATGAAATGCCACATGAATAATTATTATACCAGTCAGATTGGGTAAGATGGTAGTGACTTTAGAACTATACCTCCTAAGTCCCAAACCACCTATTACTAGTAGTGTAACCTTGGCAAGTTACTTAACGTCTCTGTGGCTCATTTTCCTTAGTTGTAAAATAAAATAGTATCTTATAGGATTGTCAAGAGGATTAAATGCTGATAATGAGTTAATGCAGAAAGAGTACTTAGAACAGTCTGGCACGTGAGGTTTTCTGTTATTTTTATTTTTGCAAAAAGCTTTTTTTTTTTTAAAGAGATTTTTATTTATTTATTTTTAGAGAGGGGAAGGGAGTGAGAAAGAGAGAGAGAGAGAAACATCAATGTGTGGTTGGCTCTCATGTGGCCCCCACTGGGGACCTGGCCTGCAACCCAGGCATGTGCCCTGACTGGGAATTGAACGTGCAACCCTTTGGTTCGCAGCCTGCGCTCAATCCACTGAGCTATGCCAGCCAGGGCTGCGAAAAGCTTTTATTTTATTTTAATTAATTAATTAATTTTTCAAATTTATTAGAAAGGGGTTCTGTAGTATTCAGTGCGTTTTTTTTTTTTTTTAGGTTTTATTTATTTATCTTCAGAGGGGAAGGGAAGGAAACAGGGAGAGAAACATCAATGTATGGTTGCCTCTCCTGCTTCCCCTGCTGGGAACTGGCCTGCAACCCAGGCATGTGCCCTGACTGGGAATCGAACCTCGATACTCTGGTTCACAGGCCCACGCTCAATCCACTGAGGTACACCAGCCAGGGCTTGCAGAAAGCTTTTAAATAAAAGAGTTCACTCTTCATTTTTTAGGCTTAAGATATACTTCTTTTTCCTTCAGGAAAAAAATATATTGGAATATAATTAAACTTCTGTTGGTCATTGCTGGCCTTTGCAGGTACGAATTTTGTGGAGATGAGTCTTAGAAGTGACAAAAAAGACTGTAGAAATTCATCACTGAACAGTACTATATTACATTCTACCTAAAACTTTTGGCTTGTAACATAATGCAGAAACTACAAAATTTGGTTTTCTTTAGTCTTCCAGTTAAGATTTATTATGTCGTATATGCCATATGTATCAGGGTTAGCTAAACTGTTTCTATCTCCTGAAGTCAGAATAAAAATTTGCCATTGGATGTCATTTAATTATGCTCTGCAAAGGAACAGATAACCAGGCTGTTTTATGCAGAAGATCTTAGGCCAAGTTGATCTGTAGCCAAATTTATCCAAGTTTATTATTAAGGACATTTTCTTTTGCTGGGCTAGTCTAAAGCCTGCTGGTTTAAATCCCAGTTTAAGAATAGTTGAAAGATACTGGGCTCATACTCACTCGTCCTCCCAGAGGCACTCTACCTAGATCACCACCAGTCTACTTACTTCTTGGAGGTTTTGTAACCAGTTTGACCTCTGGCAGGGTTGGCCAGAGGCCTGGGGAATCCTCACATTGTTGGATCCCAGTGATCATGTTTTGGCCTACTACTTAAATGTCTGCTACTTAATGTTTACAACAAACATATCAGTTGAAGTGCTTAACCATATCAGATTTCCTTAATAAGAGAATTCTCATAAATCAAACTCTTTTCTTAACACTGAATTTAATCTTTGTGAAACTTAGATGTAGGTTTAGTGATCTTTCGTAGTCAGCCTTGTCTCCTTTCCCGAAGTCCCTGGCAACCACTGATGTGATTACTGTGTCCCTATAGTTTTGCCTGTTACAGAGTGTTGAGTAAATGGAATCATTTGGAATGTAGCTTTTTGTGTTTGGTTTCTTTCACCCAGCCTGACACTTTTAAGATTTATTCATAATGTTGCATGTGTTAGTACTTTGTTCCTGATACTACTGATTGAACAATTACCTTGTGTTAGGCATTAACTTGAGTATGCTGTTTATATGTTATTAAACTTTATAAAACCTTATGAAATAGTAGATAATGTTATCCCTCATTTAACAGTTTAGAAACTGAGGTAAAGAGGTTTATTAGCTTGCTCAAGGACATAAATGGCAGAACTAGAATTTGCACTTGGGTCTGATTCCAAAGCCTTTGCACTTAACCATTCTAATATACTGACTGAATACTTCAAGTTTCATTTGTGGGGTTTTTGGGTATATGGTGGTTGGGATGCCTTTGGTATATTACTTTGATAATCTCAGTTTATAATACTTGTTATTAAAACTAAAAATCAGCAGCAGTTCATGATTCAACCATGAGAATTGTGGTCATCCTCTCTCAGTTGAGTACTGACACTTTTTACATTTATTTTTTAATCCTTATGTGTGTGAGCCCCGAACCTAAAGTGATAGTGGCTTATAAGTGATAAAAATAATAATACATGTTCATGATAAAACACTTATTGTAAGTAGGGTGTGCAGAACAAATCTGCCCTTTCCCCATTTCTCCCATCCTTGTGTTTCTTGGGCGTATTTCCAGAAAGTACACATGTGCTAACAAGCATATAGACACAGTTTTTTCTTTGCACTAGTATAGTTTGGATTCATACTATATATATTCTTCTTTGCATCTTGTTTTTTGCACTTACTAGTATATCTTGGGAGCTTGTAATACAAATCTATCCTATTTTTTTTATTATTGTACAGTATTTCAAAGTAGAGACATCCCGTTTATTTAACAGCATCTCTTGGTGGACATTTAGATGATCTCCTTTCACTATTGTAAGCAGTTTTGCAATAGGCATCCTTATTTATATTTTAGTGAAATTATTAGGTATGAGCATTAGATATTTTGATAAATGTATCCTGCTCAGCTGTCAAAATTTTGAATGTCTTTGTGCTTACTTCCACCAAGAGTAGGTGAGCATTCAGCCATATATCTTGGACTTTATTGGCAGTTACTTGTTATATAAAGTATTTAAGTTGGGTAGAATTCAGATTCAGTCCATTTCCTATTAAGTTGCACAGGGTAGATCTGCAACTGAGGTTTGTTGGATTTAAGAGACTTGGGATGTAGCCTTGACATAGTTGGATGGGCCATTTGATTTGGGTGAGTCTCACAGCTGATGATCAGTGCTTCAGTTTCCATCTCTGTAAATGGGGATGGTCATTTTGCCCTCTGCTTCCTGTGGGCATGATGGAGGAGGATAAATGAGGTTATTTGGGTGAAGTGTTTCATGACTTAAAAAAAAAGATTTTATTTATTTTTAGAGAGGGGGAAGGGAAGGAGAAAGAGAGGAAGAGAAACATCAATGTGTGGATGCCTCTCGCACGCCACATATTGGGGACCTGGCTCACAACCCATGTATATGCCCTGACTGGGTATTGAACTGGTGACCCTTTGGTTCCCAGTCCAGTGCTCAATGCACTGAGCCACACCAGCCAGGGCTTCATAACTTTTGAATGAAAGAATTTATGCACTGGCTTTCTTTAAAAGAAGAGTTATATAAAATTGATTGTTACTTATATTCTTAGGTATACAGAAACGAAAGAAGTACCTTTTCCTCCTTTGACTTCTTGGCAGAGGATGCCTCCTCTTTAATAGTAGGACACTGGGATGGAAGCATGTCGTTGGTGGACAGACGGACACCTGGAACTTCTTATGAGAAGCTTGTCAGTTCTTCTATGAGAAAAATAAGAACTGTTCATGTCCACCCAGTGCATAGACAGTATTTCATAACTGCAGGATTGAGGTATGTTCTTCATAAAACTTTATGATTCAGGCCTTTTTTATTATTATTATTTTATTTGTTTATTTATTTATTTATTTACTTATTTTATTCAGGCCCCTTAATGTTAGGACAAATGTTACAGTTTTGTTGTAAAAGACATCTGGCTTTCATGATACCCACAGCTGGATAATCTTCCTTTCTACACAGAGTTTTTTTGACTATCATTTTTTTTAAAGATTATATGTATTTAGAGAGAGGGGAAGAGACCAGGCCCACGACCCAGACATGTGCCCTGACTGGGAATCAAACCCAGAACCTTTTGGTTTGCAGGTCAGCACTCAATCCACTGAGCCACACCAGCCAGGGCTTAAGTATCATTTTTAAAAAATGAGATATTCATTTGAATATAATAAATAATGAAAGTATTGAAACAAGTACCCATTTTTGTTTTCCTTAGCATCGTATGCATTTGAGAAGAAAACTTGTAAAAAAATGTTATATGTGACTTGCCGGTCTGTGTTTATTTTTTGCCTTGAGAGACTGGAAAACCAACTGAATTTTTGTCTGTGTATACCCACTGGTTACATTGTTATGCTATAGTTTTTGGAATTTTTCTGAAATTTTAACTTTGCTAGTGTTTGTAAAGTTAATACAGAAGATTAGAGAGCTCTATCTTAATTGTTCTTCAATGTAGTAAGTATTTGAGTGATTTATTATAGGCACTATTCCAGAGGCTTATTACATGCACTGTGGTAACACTGAATCATTTTTTTTTTCATTACAGCGATGTTCATCTTTATGATGCTAGGCGCCTGAATCCCAAGGGAAGCCAGCCTTTGATTTCTTTGACTGAACACTCAAAGAGCATTGCTTCTGCTTATTTTTCACCTTTTACTGGTAACAGAGTAGTGACCACATGTGCTGATTGTAAGCTGAGGTAAATTGGAAAGACAAATAGGTTGTTAAAAGAATCTAAAATGTCTGTAGTTACTGTGTCAATAAACCAGTAGCTTTGTTTACTGCTGCTCCCTTTTCAATCACTACTGTTATTATTTTTATAGCTATGGATAGGTTCCTGAAGGTCAGTGACCTATATTTGATGGCTTTTCAGCAGTTTTTGTGTTTGGAAATGGCCTTGAGATTGGCAAGGAAGGTCTGTAGCCAACCTGGAGAATTGATGTCAGGCCTCCCTTTCAGCAGTGAACAATCCCAGAAATACCAATGAGAGCAGGCTCGTGACACCTTGAAAGGGAAGTAATTTTAGCGCAGGGAGAAGCTCTTACTTTGGGGATGGTAGGTTCTACCCTACAAGTGAAGTGCTGAATGAAAGTCACAGAGCCCCAGGACATGTGCAGGCAGAAAAGATACAAAAACTGGACTTCTATATAGACTAGTAGATACAGTTTTATGGTTTCAGCTTTGCTACCTTTCTATAGCTACTTCCTAAAAGTGGATTTTAAAATGTAGGTAAATCAGTTGTACCAAAAGTAGAAAATAATGCCAACAAAAAAAATGTGATGTTAATGTAACCATGAAGAAAAATGATTGTGTTCTCTTCCGGAGTCCCTGATTTTGCTTACCATTGCAAGCATTTCTCAATTTATGAGAATTTTACCTTAAGTGATCTTGGAATTGACTATTTATTCATCAACGATCTGTTGAATGTTACTGTGAGCCAGGCTCTAGGAAGGCACCTAATTTCTATTTAGACCCATCTGTTGGGAAGAGCTTGGTCTGCAGTGTGTAGCATGTGCCCAGTTTGCTTCTAATAAAGTCTTTGCACATTACCAGGTGGTACACTAAGAGATTTAGTCACCAGGCAGTGGCATCTCAGTGTTCACTTTCTGCCTACGTAGTATCCTTTGTCTCATGAACTACCTGTTTGTCTCATTCCTGTTCATTTGCACTATAGAGTTTACTCTCATTATATTAGCTGTTAGGGATTGGCTTTCTGGTAATCTAATTAGGTGATAAACTCTAGTCTCAAGAAACTGCACTGGAATACCTAGGTAGGAGGAGAAGGGGGAAGGTGGTCGTGATGTGGTTCATTTCTTTGTGCCAGCATACCTGGTGGATGGAGGCTTCTGGGCTCCTCCAGCTGCCTCATCAGACCTCCTCCCCTTGGTTGGATCTAATTCTTACCAGCATCTGCAAATGACACAGCCAGGCCCTCAACTGATGAGTCTCATGAGGAAAAGGCTCTTGATTCATTCATTTAGGTTATTTGTGCATTTTTAGACGACATCCCTTATATATGACCTATATTATTGTGAATCTGAATATAGTTTAGAATCCAGATTACTTTAGAGCACAGGTAGCAAACACAAGGCCCACAGGCCAAATCCAGCCCTCCACCTTGTTTTATCTGGCCCGGCACCTTGTTTCTACCTGGCGGCACCGCCAAGCTCTTGCTTAACTGTTAAGGAGTAGTTACATTTATACAGTCCTAAAATTCCATTCAGCCCTTTGAAGGCAACTGCGAAGCTGATGTGGCCCCCAGTGAAAATGAGTTTGGCATCCCTGCTATAGAATGTACATTTTAAGAGTGGAGTAATAGTGTTTAAATAAACCATTTCTACACTATACAATAAGCATTGAATTTTATAATATTCTTTGTAATTTTTATTTTTTTATATTTTATTTATTTATTTTCAGAGAAGAGGGGAAGGGAAGGAGAGAGGGAAAGAAGTATCAATGTGTGGTTGCCTCTTATGTGTCCCCCACTGGGAACTGGCCTGCAACCCAGGCATGTGCCCTGACTGGGAATCAAACCGTGATCCTTTGCTTCACAGGCCCGCACTCAATCCACTGAGCTACACCAGCCAGGGCATATTCTTTGTAATTTTTATTAAATATATTAGCTGAGATTTAGTAGATCCTGATTCTATATAGTTTAAAAATAACAGTCATATTCCATGTCATGAACCAATGGAAAGGTTATTAAACACACTGATGTTATTTCAGAAAATTTGCAAAAAACAATAAAAAGCATTACTTTATTCTTGTTCTTTATTTTGCAGAATCTTTGACAGCAGCTGTATATCCTCTCAGATTCCTCTCCTCACCACCATCGGGTAAGTTTCCAGATGCCAAATAATGTAAACCCTGGATTACTGTTTGTTGGCGTACATGCACTAGACACTGATTGTCGAAAAGATGTAATAGGTCTGATTGTTGTGTTACTTTGTGTAAGTGTCGCAGGTTGCTACTTCCTCTTCAGTCCAGCAAGGGTTCTTGCTTCCAGGTTCCCTGTGTTTGTAAAGAGGTTCATTCTCTTTCAGTCAGTGGGTGGTTATTTTTGGTTAAGGTGAATGACTTTATTCCAATCTGCATTATTCGTGTTATATTATTAAGAAGATGGTAACTACTCACTTGTTGATGAGGACCCTCTCACTTATTTTATTTCTTTGGTTACCCTCTTTTTATATCTGCTACTTTTAATGTATCTATCTTACACCAGACTTTACTGGATGCCTTTGTCCTAGACATCCCCTCTTTATCTTTATTTATGAAGCTGGGGACAGGGTGAGCAATAAATGTTGTTTGTTGCTTCGGGAGTTTTATAGTCTATAGAGGCTACATTTCAGTGTATTTGTTTCTGCTTCACAGACTTCTTAAATTCCTTTTTTCAAACTTTATTCTAGGTTATTAGTTTCTAATGTATATTTTTATTTATGTATATATTTTTTACTTTTATTACATTTATTTCTTGCTGAATTTACTCCTGGGCCGTAAGTTTTTGTTTCTTCCATTCCTTCTGGGACATCTTTTTCTCCTGTGCAACCTCCTCTTCTGGTCCGGGAACACCCTGCCCTTTGTCAGGAAGGACCGTCTCAGTGTGGCAGGGAGCGCTCCTGTGTGGGGTCACCCACCCGTGAGCTCTGTAAGTTCTATGCTGCATCTTGGGAGCTTTGTTCACCCGAATGTGTTCAAGGACGAGAGACTCCATATCTACACCCTTAAGTTCAGCTTTACTCTATGCACTTTTAAGCATGTGCAGCAAAAACTCAGCACTCTTCTTGGGCCACCAACCCTGTGTCTGGCCCCTCAGTTTGGCCTGGGCACACCTACCAACTCTACCATTGTAACGACAAAATGGCATGCATTGCTTCTGTAAAGTGACAGCCTTCGGGTACATGGTGGCTATTGGAATGTGCATACCCTTGACAGCCTGAGCAGTTTCACGAGTGTTCTTAAAGTGAACATGAAGATTTGAACCTCATGTTTTGCATGATTTTGTGCAGTTTTCTGGGTCAAGTGAATAGTGAACCATTTTCAGAGGTCACTTCTGGCTGCTTTTGGAAAGAATCTAGTGTGTATTTTTTTTTAAGATTTTATTTATTTATTTTTAGAGGGGAAGGGAAGGAGAGAGGGAGAGAAATATCAATGTATGGTTGCCTCTTGTGCATCCCCTACTGGGAACCGGCCTGCAACCCAGGCGTGTGCCCTGACTGGGAACCAAACTGCGATCCTTTGGTTCGCAGGCCTATACCCAATCCACTGAGCCACACCAGCCAGGCTCTAGTGCGTATTTTTAAAAAATTTATCTAGGGTGATGAATCTGGGGTCAGTGTGAATTTTCATGAAAGATAGCACCATTGAGTGACAGTGGGAAATTTGGTTCTTTGTAGTTTATACTTGAATAAGAAAGGGCTATTAATGGTATTAAGGTATAGAGAGTAAAAGGGCAGTACTTTTTTTTTTTTTTTTTTTTTGGTTTTGGAGAGCAGTAAAAAGCCCCATATGTATTTTTACAATTTTAATTTATTTTTAGTTTTGGTTATAAACCACCTTAACCATTTTGAAGTGTGCAGTTCAATAGTGTTAAGTATATTTGCATTGTTGTACAACAGATTTTTAGAAATTTTTCATGTTGCAAAACCGAAACTTCTGTGTACATTAAACATTAGTTTTTCCTTCTCTCTCCCTCAGACCTGGACAGCTATCGTTAATTCTCATTTCAATCATTTTGACCTCTTTAGGTACTTCACGTGAGTGATATCATATGGTATTTGTCATAATGTGACTGGCTTATTTCACTTAGCATAATATGCTGGAAGTTCACTCATGTTCTACCATGTGACAGTGTCTCCTCCTGTTTTTAAGACTCCATAATATTCCATGTATGTCTGTGTCTCATTTTTTAAATTCATCTGTTGTGGACATTTGGGTTGGTTCTACCTCTTGGTTATTATGCAAAATGCTGCAGTGAACATGGGTGTGCAACAAATATCTCTTCAAATCCTGCTTTGAATTATTTTGAATAGACACTAGAATGGGAGTTTTAATGGATCATGTGGTAATTCTATTTTTAATTGAGGAAACACAATACTATTTTTCTGTTTTTTAAAAGAAAAAATTTGTGTTTACTTTCAGAGGGGGTAAGGGAGAGAGAAGGAGGGAGACAAATAGCAATGTGTGAGAGATACATCGATCTGTTGCCTCTCACTCTCCCCCAATTGGACCTGGTTTGGACCTGACATGCAAACCAGACATGTGCTCTGGGAATCAAACCAGTGACCTTTCGGTTTGCAAGACAGTGCCCAAACCATTGAGCGATGCCAGTCAGGGTTCCATACTGTTTTTCCACATCAGCCACATCATTTAAATTCCCACCAAGAATTGCACTGGCTGGTGTGGCTCAGTTGGTTGGAGAGTCATCCTGTAACCGAAATGTTGCAGATTTGATTCCTGGTCCAGGCATGTGTGGGAGGCAACCAATAGTATTTCTCTGTCACGTCTATGTTTCTCTCTCTCTTCATTTCTCTCTGAAAGCAATGAAAAAATGTCCTCAAGTGAGAATTTAGAAAATGTAGCAAGGTTCTAATTTCTATATATTCATCAATACTTGTTTTCTCTTTTTTGTTTATGACATGCTAATGGGTATGATGTTGAAAATCTCATGTTAAAAATCTTCTCATATGCTTGTTGGCCATTTGTATATCTTTTTTGGAGAATTGTCTGTTCAAGTCTTTTGCCCATTTCTGTATTAAACTACTTTTGTTTTTGTTAGTGAGTTGTAGAAGTTCCTTACATATTTTGCATATTAACCACTTATCAAGTATATGATTTACAAACACTTATCATTTTGTAGGGTGCCTTTTCACTTTGTTGATTGTTTTCTTTCATGCACAGAATTTTAAAGTTTGGTGTGGTCCTATTTGTCTATTTTTGCTTTTGTTACCTGTGCTTTTGGTGTCATATCTAAGAAATTACCAAATCCAAAGACTGAAGCTTTCCCCCTATGTTTTCTTTTAGGATTTTTATAGTTTAAGGTCTTATGTTAGGTTTTAATCCATTTGAGTTAATTATTACTGTTCAACTTCACCTTTTGCACGTGGATATCCAGTATTCCCAGCACTATTTGTTGAAGCACTTACTCATTCCCAGCACTTACTCATTGTGTGGTCTTAGCACTCTTGTCAAATGTGATTTGACCATATACATGAGGGTTCATTTCTGGACTTCGTATTCTTTTCCTTTGGTTTGTATGTTGGTATTTATGCTAGTACCACACTATCTTGAGTCCTATTGCTATTTAGGATGTTTTGAAATCAGTAAGTTTGAGGTCACCACCTTTCTACCTTTGTTCTTTTTTCTTTTTTTTAAATCCTCATCTGAGGACATGTTTATTGATTTCATGTAAGCCTGAAATCTGTGTGGAATCTTTAAGATTTTCTACCTATAAGATCATACAAACAGACAATTTTACTTTTCCTTTCCAATTTGGAGGGATGTCTTTTATTTCTCTTTGTAATATAATTGACTATCATGTGACTGCTCAGAATGTGTCTCTCTTATCAGATGCTTGTCAGTTTAATGGTGACACCTCATGTGCAGAACACTCCACGTTAACCTGTGAAGTTGTGAATGACCCTTAAGTTAGGCAGATCATTGTATCTAGTCCTGTCCAGTTTTCTGGTTTTACCAGATTTATATTCTGTTGAATAGCAGTGAGAAGAGTGGGCTTCCTTGCCTTTTTCCTGATCTGAGAGGAAAAGCTTTCAGTCTTTCATCATTGCATATGATGTTAGCCATGGACTTTTCATAATAGGCCTGTATTATGTTGAAGTGGTTTCCTTCTATTTCTAGTTTGTTCAGTGTTTTTGTCATGAAAGGGAATTGAACTTTGTCAAGTGATTTTTCTGCATCAATTGAGATGATCATATGTTTTTTGTCCTTCATACTGTTAATGTGGTATATTACATTGATTTTTATTTTTTAAATTCTCACTTGAGAATATCTTTTCATTGATTTTAGAGGGGGTGGAGGAGAGAGAGAAAGAGACTGAGAGAGAACCACTGATTTTGTTGTTCCACTTATTTATACATTCATTGGTTGCCTCTTGTGTGTGTCCTGATTGGGGATCAAACTTACAACCTTGACATAGGGCCTGAGTTGTAGTCTTGTAGGAAGGATGAGATTAGGATGATAGAACTTAGAGAAGAAACTTGGTAGAGAAAGTCAGCAGTTAGGAGCAATGCCATCTTTACTCTCTGCCCATCGCTACCTTGAGTTATTTACCAGTTACTGTCTTTTAAAGTGTTTTTTTTTTTCACTAGGCATAACACCATTACTGGGCGATGGCTGACCAGGTTTCAAGCTGTGTGGGACCCTAAACAAGAAGACTGTGTCATTGTTGGCAGCATGGCCCATCCACGACAGGTGGACATCTTCCATGAGACAGGAAAGCGCGTGCATTCTTTTCTTGATGGAGAATGCCTTGCCTCTGTGTGTTCCATCAATGCTATGCACCCAACTCGGTATATTTTGGCTGGAGGTAATTCCAGTGGGAAGATACATGTTTTTATGAGTTAAGAAATTTGCTGGGTTTTTGGTTTAGCAATACTAATTTGTTCAAATTAATTAATGTTTATTTAGCAAATATAAATTGCTTTATTAATAGCTATAATCAGAATTTTTTTTTTAAATTGAGGGAGACGCCTTGGAGGTTGTTTCCACAGGATGGGGAGGAAATATGAGGGAGGCTGATGCCTTCAGCACTTTAATCAGGCAGTATGTTGAGAAATTATAATATCATCAGTTATAAAGCTTTGAATGATCAGAATTAAAAACTTTTGTGGTCTAATGATACAGTTTTTAAAAAATTTATTGGAGTGACATTGGTTAATGATAACCTGTAAGTTTCAGGCATACATCTTTATAGTACCACATCTGTGTACTGCACTGTGTGCTCACTGTCCAAAGTCCACCCTTCCTGTTACTGTATATTTGATCCCCTTTACCCTCTTTGTTTTCCCCCAACTCCTCTTCTCTCCTAACCACTATTCTGTTGTTTATATATATGAGGGTTTTTTTGTTTTATATCCCACATATGTGTGAAGTCATGGTTTTTGTCCTTTTATATTCAACTTATTTCATTTAGCATAATACTGTCAAGATCCATCCATGTTGTTACAGATAGCAGTATCTCATTTTTGTATGGCTGTGCAGTATTCCATGGTACTCATGCCATTGTACCACACCTTCTTTATCCAGTCATCTGTTGAGGGATACTTAGGTTGTTTCTATTTTTGGTCATTGTGAATAATGCTGCAGTGAACATAGGATATGTATGTCCTTACAAATAAATCTTTTCATTTTTTTTGGTAGATATCCAGAAGAGGGATTGCTGAGTCTTATTGTAGCTCTACTCTTAATTTTCTGAGGCACCGCCATACTGTTTCTCATAGTGGCTGTGCCAATTTACATACCCACCACTGTGTGTAAGGTTTTCCTTTTCATGTTTTTTCCAACACTGTTAGTTCTTGTCTTATTGATAATAGCCATTTTGGTGGGAGATGGTATTTCATTGTAGTTTGGATTTGCATTTCCCTTATGACTAGTAATGTTGAGCATCTTTTAATATATGTTGGCCATTTGTATGTCTTCTTTAGAAAATTGCCTATTCAGGTTCTCCACCCATCTTTTAATTGGATTGTTTATTTTTTGATGTTGAGTTGTATATTAAATATTAGCCCCTTATCAGAGGTATTGTTTGAATATACCTTCTGTCATTTAGTTGGTCACCTTTTTGTTTTGTTGATGCAGAAGTCTTTTTAGTTTGATGTAGTCCTGTTCATTTATTTTTTCTTTTACTTCCCTGTCTTTGGAGTCAAGTTCACAAAAACTGTGAGACCAATGTCTGTAAGTTTAGTGTCTATGTTTTCTTCTATGTATTTTATTGTTTCAGGTCTTATAGTTAAGTCTTTAATCCATTTTGAGTTAATTTTTGCATATGGTGTTAGATTGTCTAGTTTTATTTTTTTATATGTTGCTTTCCAGTTTTCTGCATATTTATTGAAGAGACTTTACTTTCTCCATTGTATGTTTTAGGCTCCATTGTTAAAAATCAGTTGCCTGTATATGTGTGGGTTTATTTCTGGACTCTGTTGTTTCATTGGTCTGTGTAACTTTTTCTGCCAGTACCATTCTGTTGTTTTTTTTTTTAAATATATTTTATTGATTATACTATTACAGTTGCCCCATTTTCCCCACTTCACTCCCCTCTACCCTGCACACCTTCTCCCACCCACATTCCCCCACTTTAGTTCATGTCTGTGTGTCATAAGTTCTTTAGCTTCTACATTTCCCATACTATTCTTACCCTCCCCCTGTCTATTTTCTACCTACCATCTATGCTACTTATTCTCTATACCTTTTCCCCCTCTCTCCTCTCACTCCCCTATTGCTAACCCTCCATGTGATCTCCGTTTCTGTGGTTCTGTTCCTGTTTTAGTTGTTTGCTTAGTTTATTTTCCTTTTTGTTTTTAGATTCTGTTATTAACGACTGGGAGTTTGTTGTCATTTTACTGTTCATATGTTTGATCTTCTTTTTCTTAGATAAGTCCCTTTAACATTGCATATAGTAAGGGCTTGGTGGTGGTGAACTTCTTTAACTTGACCTTATGTGGGAAGCATTTTATCTGCCTTTCCATTAGAAATGATAGTTTTGCTGGATACAGCAATCTTGGATATAGGTCCTTGCCTTTCATGACTTTGAATACTTCTTTCCAGTCCTTTCTTGTCTGTAAGGTCTCTTTTGAGTAATCAGCTGATAGTCTTTCGGGAACTCCTTTGTAGGTAACTGTCTCCTTTTCTCTTGCTGCTTTTAAGATTCTCTCCTTGTCTTTAATCTTGGGTAACATAATTATGATGTGCCTTGGTGTGTGCTTCCTTGGGTCCAAATTCTTTGAGACTCTCTGAGTTTCCTGGATTTCCTGAAAGTCTATTTCCTTTGGCAGATTGGGTAAGTTCTCCTTCATTATTTTTTCAAATATGTTTTCAGTTTCTTGCTCTTCTCCTTCTGGCACCCCTATGATTTGGACATTGGAATGTTTAAAGTTGTCCTGGAGGTTCCTAAGACTCTACTCATGTTTTTGAATTCTTGCTTCTTCCTTCTGTTCTGGGTAAATGTTTCTTCCTTCTGCTCCAAACCATTGATTTGAGTCACGGTTTCCTTCCTGTCACTGTTGGTTCCCTGTACATTTTCCTTTATTTCACTTTTCATAGCCTTCACTTTTCCCTCTATTTTGAGACCATACACAACCATATCTGTGAGCATCCTTATTACCAGCGTTTTGAACTGTGCATCTGATAGGATGGCTATCTCTTTGTCGTTTAGTCATATTTTTTCTTGAGCTTCGATCTGTTCTTTTATTTGGGCCATATTTTTTTTTTTTTGTCTTGGTGCAACTGTTACATAGTAAGGGAAGGAGTCTTAGGTATTCATCATGGCAGGGCAACCCACATCACTGTGCTGTGGCACTGTGTGTGGGAAAGGGGTCTGAGGGGGAACAATGCTGCTTATTCAGCTCTCAGCCCATTTTCAGTCACTTTCTCTGCTACCCACAAGCAAACTGGGCTCTTCTGGTGCAGATTCCTGGGTGGGTGGGTTTGTGTACGTTCTAGGACTCTGTGGGTCCATCCAACGAACTCTCCTGTGAAGCTGGGAATTTCTTCCTCTGCCTCAACCCCCACAGGTTTTTTCAGTCAGAGGTTTTGAGGCTTTATTTCCTTGTGCTGGAACCCTGGGTTGTGCAGTTTGTCTCACTGTACAGTTGTTCCTCTTGGTTTATCTGTACACAAATGTGGGACTGCCTGCTCTACCAGCCTCTGCTTTGCTGCTCATCTCCGCCCTTCATACCAATCTGGATGAATATTTCTTGTTTAACTTCTTGGTTGTCAGACTTCCATACAGTTTGATTTTTCTGTAAGTTCTGGTTGTTTTTTGTTTTTAAATTTGTTTTTTAATATGTTTTATTGATAATGCTATTACAGTTGTCCCATTTTCCCCCTTCATTCCCCTCCACCCTGCATACCCCTCCCCCACCATTCCCCCCCTTTAGTTTATGACCATGTATCACAAGTTCTTTAGATTCTATATTTCCCATACTATTCTTGCCCTCCCCCCTATTTTCTACTTACCATCTATGCTCCTTATTCTCTGTACCTTTTTCCCCCTTCTCCTCCTCTCACTCCCCTGTTGCTAACCCTCCATGTGATTCCCATTTCTATGGCTCCACTCCTGATCTAGCTGTCCTTTTAGTTTGCTTTTGTTTTAGGTGTGGTTCTTAATAACTGTGAGTTTGCTGTCCTTTCACTGTTCACCTTTTTTATCTTCTTTTTCTTAGATAAGTCCCTTTAACATTTCATATAATAAGGGCTTGGTGATGATGGACTCCTTGAACTTGACCTTATCTGAGAAGCACTTTATCTGCCCTTCTATTCTAAATGAAAGCTTTGCTGCATAGAGCAATCTTGGATGTAGGTCTTTGGATTTCATGGCTTGGAATACTTCTTTCCAGCCCCTTCTTGCCTGTAAGGTCTCTTTTGAGAAATCAGCTGACAGTCTGATGGGGACTCCTTTGTAGGTGACTGTCCCCTTATCTCTTGCTGCTTCTAGGATTCTCTCCTTCATTTTAATCTTGGCTAATGTAATGATGATGTGCCTTGGTGTGTTCCTTCTTGGGTCCAATTTCTTTGGTACTCTCTGAGCTTCCTGGATTTCCTGGAAGTTTATTTCCTTTGCCAGATTGGGAAGTTCTTTTTTATTATTTGTTCAAATAAGTTTTCAGTTTCTTGCTCTTCCTCTTCCCCTTCTGGTACCCCTATAATTTGGATGTTGGAATGTTTAAAGATGTCCTGGAGGTTCCTAAGCCTCTCCTCATTTTTTAGAATTCCTGTTTCTTCATTCTATTCTGTTTGGTCATTTTTATCTTCCTTCTGGTCCACTCCACTGATTTGAGTCCCAGTATTCTTTCCATTACTATTGGTTCCCCGTGCATTTTGCTTCATTTCACTTTAGCCTTCATTTGTTTCTCTGATTTGTGACTAAAATCAACCAGTTCTGTGAGCATCCTGATCCCCAGTGTTTTGAACTGTGCATCTGATAGGTTGGCTCTCTCTTGGTTACTTAGAAGTATTGGCTCTGGGGCTTTGAGCTATTCCTGAGCCATAATGTTTTGGTCTGTTTGCGCCTGTTATGTATGAGGTGCTTAACCTTAGGTGTTCACCAGGGTGGGGTGACCCAGTCACTGGGTTGTGATGCTGTATGGGGGCGCGGTCAGAGAGGGGCAGTGGCGTCTATTCTGCTCTCTCTCGGATTTCAGTCCCCTTTGCTGCTTCCCTCAAGCAAACTGGGCCCTTCTGGTGATGGTTCCTGGGTATGTGGGCCTGTGCACCCTCCAGGACCCTGTGGGTCTCTCCAACAAACTCTCTTTGAGCCTGGGAGTCTCCTCCAGCACCTCAACCCCTGAAAGTTTTTCCAAGTGGTGCTTTTAGGCTTTAATTCTTGGCGCTGGGGTCCTAGCCTGCGCGGTCTCACTGCTCGCTCCTTCGCCTGGTTTATCTGCATGTGAATGTGTGACCGCGGTCAGCCAGATGCCTTGTGCCCTCACTGGGTATGCCCGTTGCCACCCCACGCCTGGGATCTGCCAACCGCCTTTTCCTGTGTGACCCCGATCCAACAGCCACTGATTCTGGCCCTGTTACTGGTCTGGCTGAAGGGTTCATTGTTGTCGGACTTCCATACAGTTCAATTTTCTGTGTTTTGGTTGCGTTTTTGTTACTAAAACTTTGTTGTCTTTAAACTTGGTTATGCGAGGAGGCGGTGTTTCCACCTACGCCTCCATCTTGGCCGGAAGTCCCCATTTTTAAATTTGTTGTTGTCCTCCTTTTGGTTGTATGAGGAGGCACAATGTATGTACATATGCCCCCATTTGGCCAGAAGTTGTTACGGCAGTTTGTGCCTTTTGTTGGAAGTGGAACTATTAAATCAGTGACTAATGTTACTGTGTGACATTACCTATCATTGTTCTTCATTGCCAAAATACCACTGAAAGGCTATTGTTAATAGCACCAGCAATATGTTTGAATTCTAAGAGCAAATATTATCATAATTGCATATCACATAAGTGGACATGTATAATTTTTTTAAAGAACAGTTTTCCCCTAAATAATTTCCTTCTCTGTAATTAAAATCTAAGTGGTTTGATGCTTAGTTTATTAAAAGTTGTGGGTGTTTATAAGGAATAGGAGTTCTCTGTTTTCTTGATGATATGAATATGGAAATATATGAGAGGTAGAAATATTAATTTATGAAATGGGAAGTAAAGCTAAGTGAGGTGGAGTTATATTTAATCTACCCTTGAAGTACTAAACACAGCCTTTTGGCTTTTTCTTTTTCTTTTCTGCACTGCTTAATTTCACAGGTTCCAGAATGGCTGGTTCTGTGGGGATTGTCCTTTTTCTGATTTTAAAAATGACCCTCAATCAAATTAGTACCATCATTTAAGCTTTGATAGTAATTGCCTGGCTTCTGTAGTGTTAACAAATTCTTCATGCTTTTCACTTTTGTGATTTCTTTTGACAATGTAGCTTCATAAACTGTGCTATTTATATTCAATTCCACTTAATAGAGCTCTCTGTTCTTGAGGCAGTGCAGGAGAGTGAGTGAGGACTTGTTACTCAGTGATCTGTAATGGCATAATAATTTAACTCTAGAAAGCACATAAAAGAAAACTGTCTCTCTCAGGATATCCTTAAATTGCAGTCTGTTGTGAAAGGTGTTTCTCCCAGAGACTTGCTTAAAGCTTCGTGGCTTCTGTAATTATTCGTGTATTATGACTATAATCTTTCCCTTCAGGATCAACCCTTTTTGTAAGTTCCCCTTTATGATATCTCTTACCTGTATAAGCTCTGAATTCCACTTGTTATTTTCTTTGAGATAACTGGCACTTTTTTTTCTTTAAGAAGAAAGAAGACTATTCTCATTTTGGGTGGACAGACTTGGTCAGCGTAGGGCAGGCTGTAAATGATTAGGAGTTGATAGAATCTTAGTTAAGTCCTTTTTTAGTATTTTGGCTTTTGACTTTCCTTTCCACAGAGAAGACTTTGCAAAGGCAGTTCTCCAGGGCAGCAGGGGAGCTAAGGGCTGTGCTACAGAGATTTAAATCCTTTCATCCAGCGTATACTACATGGGAAGGTGGGGAGAGCATACACATGTCTTTTATATCAAACCCAAGAGCAAGAATTATATGCCCTATAATTTCAGATTCCAAAAAATTTAGGCATCCCGTTAGGGTGTCCCTTCTGACTTAGTACTTTTTTTTATACAAAGAATACTTTCCCATTTTTTTTTCTTAATTTATTGACTGGAGAGTCACGGGGAGGGAGGGAGGAAGAGGAAGATAGAGAAAATGAGGGAAACAAGAAACACTGATTTGTTGTTCCACTTATGTATACATTCATTCATTGGTTGCTTCTTGTATGTGCCCTGATGGGAGATTGAGCCCACAGCCTTGGTGTATGAGGACAACACTGTAACCAACTGAGCTACCCAGCCAGGGCCCAAAGAGTAATTTAAATTTTTTTTCCTTTTTAGTATGGAAAGTTCTAGCTACCAACAGTAGCTAGAACTGAGTTTTATTTCCAAGACAGCACCAGAGGGTGTCCAACCTGTGGGCCTGCATGTGGACCAACACAAAATTGTAAATTTACTTAAAACATCATGAGATTTTTTGTGTGTGTGTGATTACATGTTGCAGTGTATTTAATGTGTGGCCCAAGACAACTCTGCTTCCAGTGTGGTCTGGAGATGCCAAAAGGTTGGACACCCCTGCATAGACCAACATTCTAGTTCACTCGGATATAAGTATTAGGAATTTTAAATGAAAAGACAGAATTTTGTGAGAAAGAAAACATTTAGCCTAGTTATGCGAAGTGAGGAATAAAACATTTTAAGGGTTTTTTTTTTGCTAAAATGGAAGCTGTGAAAGAAGAAATGTTTTAAAGAAGTCTTTTGGCAGCTTGCTCCACTCCATCAGCAAGTTGTAGGGGTGTGTAGAGGAGGCCTGTTCAAGAGCTAAAAGCACAAGTGTGTTCGGGTACAGAGGGGCCTGGTTGAGCCCTAAGCCGAGGGAGTGGGTGCGAGAGCCCCGAAAGGGGGTATGCCTAAGTATCCACAGAAGGGTGGCTGCTGTAAATCTATAGGATCTGGGAAACCCCTTATGTTCATTGGTTCTTCTTATGCTTTGTTTAAAGTGATTCTTCAGATCACTTTAAGAAAGGCTTTTACTGTTAAAAAACAAAATAAAACAAAAACCTCCACTAGGGACAGGAAATAAGTATCATTTTATAGGTAGGTAATGGGAACCTCTGAAAATTTGGAGGCTAAGTGACATAACTTTGTCAGTGCATTAGGAAGATGATCTTCAGCAGAACGGAGGACTGGAGGACTGCAAACAGAAGATTAGGTAATAGGCTAGCACAGCAGACCTTATTTTCACCTTTTATCCTCATGGAACTTAGAAGACCATGGCCAGTTTTGTAGCCACAGAGTGATGGTTACATAATCAGATGAGATAATGTCACAGGAATGTATTTTGTAAGTTGTCAACACGGGGTTTGTTACGGTGGTTGGAGTATCATTCTGTTCCTTTCATAGGAAGTGTTTTCTCCCTTCTATTTGACTCTGGTCTGGAAGCTGGATTACCTGGGCGCTACTTTTGGCTCCAAGACTATGTAACCTTGGAGAATCACTTCTTGGTTTTCCTTATCAGAAAAAAGAGGTATAATTCTCCTATAAAGTTATTTCACACTTATAGCTTCTAAGCAAAATGATTATTTTGATTCCAGTGGCACATGGCAGTCTTTGTAAATCCCACGGGCATCCTTTTATCTGTGTATGTCGGTAACTTAAGGAGAGAATGAGACAGGATACAAGTTAAAAAAGAGTCTACTCTTTTATGATATTTAAATATTTATTTAAGTTTAAAAATAATTTTCATGGCACCAATGATTTTATGCTAACTACATACTGAATATGTAGAAAAAAGTACATTGCTTTGAAGGAAAATGTAACTTAGATTTTTTTGGCACACAAAAGGTTAACAACTATTTTTTAATGAAACTAAGAAATTCACATTTGCAGGTAGTTTACCCTCTACTGCTTAAAGATGCAGTACACTATTCTTTAGTAAGAGTTTTATTTTCTCTGATAGATGAAGCTATGGAAACCATTGATTTTTCAACAATGAGATCAAATTAATTGAGAGAAAATAGGAGACAGAGTGGAACACAGTAAAACCAGGTTAAAAACTTGAACAATTTTTAATGATGGGGAGATAGCAAAGAAGACTAGTCACCAACAAAGGAAGTTTGTTATTCAAGCACTATTTGAAAAGCAAATTGAAGGAAACTTTTCTATCGGTATTTTCTGGAATAAGCCCTGGAAAAAAAAGAGTCTGAAAGTTTCTATTCAGAGAGAAAAATCTAGCTGTTGGAATTGGTGTGACCTATTGTACTGTTAGGACTCTAGACACAAGAAATGTACCCAGAAATGGGATACTGCATCATTTTCTAATGTGAATATGAATGGTCAGAGTCGAGGCTATTACTCACTGCATAGAAACACCATATTCTACAAACTGAGGTAGGAACACTACACTAAAAGGTAATCTGCTATGTTGCATAAGATAGTAGATATCCAGGTTAAAACTGGCCCCCTATCTCCTAACAGCCTTTTCATCTGAGTCTACTTTTTCCACTTTAGTTCTGTACTAAATAAAGCCTTTCCTATGTAGATGGCAAGTGGCAGTGGCTAGTTAATTCTAAGTGATCCCTAATCTTTACTAGGATCTCCCTCAGTTTGTCTTATCTCTTGGTAAATAGATGTTTGTAATTCTGCCCAAATTGTTGCTGGTATGGAAAAGATCAGACAAGCCCTCTTCCACTCTTAGATTCCGGCCATGTTTTAGCATTCCAGTACTTGGTCTTGCTCATCTTGGCATCAGACATCTCTTTGCTGGTTGGTTGGTCGAGCACCCTGGATCTTTAACTCATGTCAGGAATTAGAGCAGAGCCGACCCTCTTTCTGCTAGTATGGTAAGGGGCAGTTTTATTGTGTAAATCAGGATTGGCAAATTATGGCTTGTGGGCCAATCAACTCATCATCTCTTTTTATAAATATAAAGGTTTATTGGAACACAGTCTTGCTTCTTTGTTTACGTATTTATATATACCTTTGGCTGTTTTTGTGCTACAGTGACAGAGTTGAATAGTTGCCATAGAGTATGGCCCACAAAACCAAAATTTAAAAATTTACTACCTGGCACTTTACAGGAGAAGTTTGCCAACCCCTGGTCTCGATGAAGGGGAATTTAAAATTATGTACCCCTTCACCCACCCCAAAAGAACAACCCCATTTTATTAGAAGGCTGTTACATTGTGTACACGGACATGGTTCTGCCATCTCAGGGGACAAACCAGGGGCAAGCAAATCTTAAGTGACTCATTCTATTCTCATTTGGGACTGCCCAGCAATGTAAGGTGTCAGCAGCTGCTCCATGTTGTATAGGGTGGGTCCCAGGAATTGTCTGCTGACCATCTTTAAATAAGTCCTCAGGCCCCAGATAACTTAGAAATCGCTCCCTGAGATGAAAGCAAGATCTCACGTGTGACTGTTTATAATAGTTGCCGAGCTCCGGCCTCAGACCCCACACTCACCCTTTCGTGCTGTTCTTCTGCATGCTTCCATGGCTTCCCTCAGCAAGGATGGCAAGTGCTTTTTTCCTACAGCTTTTATTTTCCTGATGCAGAGGCTGACCCTAGGGGGCAGTATTTCTACATCTAAGAGTTGGTCTCTGCCACTTTCACCTTCTTTCTTGATAGGCATCGGTTAGAACTCCTATTTAAAGAGATTCTTTTCCTGGTCCCTTCCAAGGCTGTTTGTTGATCTTGGAATTCTATTTTCTGAGGCTTTTCATTCTCAGGATCAGTTTCTTTCTTGCATCGTTTAGTTCATCAGGCTCTATTTTCTTAATCCATAAAGTAAAAACAAAATATGAATTGATAAGAAAATAACATTTTGTTGTTAAAATATAAGTTGAAATAGTCTTTTTTTTTTTTTTTTTTTTTTTTGCTGGGGAGGGGCTTGTACAAAATAAGCACTGCTCTCTGACTCCCAACAGTCTCTCAGGTACCGCAGTTCTGGCTTCTGTCACTACACTTTGTCCAACATTTCTGACAGTCCTATCTCTAGTACCACTGAATTCATCTAACGCCCCCAGAGCACTCTACAAGTCTTGAGGTTCTTCAGAAAAAAATCACAGAAGTTAAAGTTCATCATACAAAATTCATGGTGATGCCCACTAGAATCTAGTCTAAGGGGACAGACTTACCCCACCCCTGCTGCTGCTGCTGCTGTAGCGGTGGTCCCTTCAGATGCCCACTGTGCTCAGATTTTGGGGGGGAAAAAACAAAAGGAAAAGAAAATCCAGCTCAGACCATCATAAGAAGCAAGTTTCCATTTAATCATTCTACAGGATGTTTACTTTTTAAAAAGCTGTGTCTGGCAAGAAAACTTAGTCCCCTGAGGCTGCTGTGATGAGTCTACAGGAACCCAGCAGGAAAGCCCCTGCAGACAGAACACAGAAGACAGCAGCTCTCTGGTCTTCAGCTAGTGTCCCATCTGCTAGGTGACACTACTGTGATCATCAGTAATAGTAAAATAAATTATTTTTATTTCATACTTTCAAAATAATACACATCTATGAAAAATCAAAATTCAAAACCAAAAGTTATCCTGCAAATTGGGAGGATGAGAAAGAGTCGCCGAGCCTTTCTTGAGAGAACCTCTGAAGGAAATGAGCTTTCCCAGTTTGTTTAGACAGGGCATGAGCCTATCCCTCTCATCTTCTGGGAAACAACCCTCCTAGGCTGTGGACTTTTGAGTCATGAAAGGAGGACTTGGTACATGTGCCGATGGTTCCGCGATGGGTCCCATTGCTGGGAATGGGTAGCCGGGCTCCTTGGTCCACCTGGCTAGTTATTGGGAGGAGTCATGCCTTCTCAGGTGTCAATAAGCAGGCTCACCACTGAGCGGATTTTGCAGGCAAACCATCGCCTGAGGGGACAAAAGTATTGATAGTGGAATTGTTCAAACTCGGGAGTCTGGCGGATATCTCGGAAAAAGGCAATGTCAAGGTCGGACTCGGTAAGGATGATCAGGAGGAGGAGCAAAACAAAGAGGAGTCCCATGGTCACAAGGAGCAAACGGAGGACACTTAAAACAAACTTATTCACCTGTTCCTCCTCTGGCCTGCTGTGCCCCTGACACAGGGCCCTCAGCTCTCCCCTAAGGGCCTCCACATCGGCAGCAGTTGGGGTGCTGGCCTCAGACTCCTTCTCCTCCTCAATGCTGCAGGTGGCTCCATTGATCTGCCGGGAAAGCAGCATCAGCTCCAGGCTGTGCTCTGCCACAGGGGTGGGCAGCACACTGTCTGCAGGGCTGTAGGCCTCGTCTGCAATCACTGCGACCCGTTCATTGCTATCTGCCCGGCTGCTTCTCACGTGAGGCAGGAAGGTGTCCCCGTGAGAGGAGGAACGCACCGGGGTGGAATGGGCACTGTCCCGAAGGGACTCTAGGCCTGGAAAGGAAAAAGGAACATGAGTTGGCTTTCTGTCCCAGTGCTCACATTTTTTTTGCTTCTGGTTTTGGCCATGTTTGTTAAAGATTGTGTATTCCTGCCTCTGGTGTCCTAGGCCTGATCTGTAGCCCCGGTCCGAAAGAGAATCTGAATTGCAGACTGCCCCTGATTGAGGGCTGGGGCCATGGTTCAGGGAGCAGAGGTTTGCCTCCTGGGCTGAGGGCCTTTCGAGGCAGGAATGGGGAGGGCCAGCTGTGTTTTACCTAATTTGGCCTCATCTAATACTGATTCTGGAGCTGAGCATCCTTTTAACAACCTAGCAACAGCTCCTTGAGCTTGTGAGGCCACCTTTTGGGTCTCTGCAGTTGCTTTTGGTCTCTTCGGCCTCCCAGTTCCAGCCATCCTGACCTTGTAAGATGTGCAAACCCTGTCTGCTCTTCCTAAGGGCTCTTGGATAGAGAAGTGGAGAGCCCTAGCCAGCTCCCTCTCTTTTCACCTTAGAATGATCTGGGTCCAGGACAGGCTGACAGTTTCCCTACTGTAGACACTGTAGAGTGCAGAGTGGACTTTGAGATCTTGTTGGGTAAGGGGGGAAACTCTTACATTTGTTAGGAGAAAGGGGGTCTTTTGGCCCCTAAAACTACCTATTATCTCTTTATTTTCCTAGATGGAACATTTCTCTTTTTAGGGCTCAAGCTCTGGGAGGGAAGAATAGGAGCTGGTTACTCCTGCAACCCAACAGCAGCCACCCAGGCTGGAGGGTATGGACTCAGAGGCACTGAGTGGCTCCCGTCACAGTGTTCTCAATGAAGTGGCTTCTCATTTCAGGTTCAACACCTGCATTTTCCCTTCCTAGCCATCTTGGTGGTGCCAGAGTGGTTCTCCCTGCCTTTATGGCCTGTGACACAAGAAGCCAGTTCCCGTCTGTTGCTCTGAAATTGACCCTGACTGCCCCAGAATAAAGCAGATGCCCAGACAGGTAAAACCTTGACCTTTCCAGGGCCGATTAGGGAGTTTGCTGGTGCAGGGCTAGCTTCAAAAGCCCTAAGTTCTCTGAAAAGGCACTAGTGGCCTTTCAGAAGTGTGTCACATCTTTCCTTGGCTCCTCTGTGGTATAGCCATTGGCACCCGGGCAGCCTGCCTGCCCACTGGAGCCCATTTCAACACGAGTGCAGTTAAGGATTCTCCAGAGGAATGAACCCTGGAAGCTGGGTTATAAACAAGAGGTAGGGGGTGATGGCAGCCTTGTTACCCACCTACACTCCCCAGTGTCTCACCATTAGCATACCTTCCCATGCTCTCAACTTCTGCTTTCAGAAGCTCCTTATGATCCTGGCTGTATTTTGTTTGTCCCTATACTAAGAATCTTAAATTTGTATAATGTTTTAATCTTTCTAAGTCACTTTCATTTTATCTTTCAACAACTCCATGAAGTAGTGAGGGTGAGAGGTTACAGAACTTTCCTGAAGTCATGTGGTTGGTTGTTAATGGCAAAGACAAGGACAGAATCCAAGCATCTTTCTGTTTCATGGCGCTAATGATCATGTAGTTGGATTCTCTGGGGAGGGGGACAGTGGGCCAGGATGAATTAAGTCGACAGCCTGCACCTTTCTTAGATTTAGATCCTAATTGCCCAAGAAACTCTTGTGCAGTAATGTGACTTTAAGAGCCTGTTCCCTGTTGCAGAGCTCCTGCCGCTCCTTTGACCCCTGTTTTCCCCAGCATACCCCCTTGGTCCCCCATGTGCATGTGCAGCATGAGGAACATGTGCCTGGGAGTATGTCATGGGGTCCCCCATAAAACTTCAGGCCCTGATCACACATAGTGCTGGTTCAGCTCCTTTCCTAACTACTCCTCTGGCTCCCTTTCCTCTGAAACCTCAGCACCCCCTTGCACAGGGCATCTCACACCCTATCAGGGGGCTGTCCCCTCACAGGGACAGCTCTGACTGCCAGATCTTTCAAAGTATGAGCAGCTTACAACCAGAAGCCACTTCCATGTAAGCTTAGCTTGGCCTACAATTTAGCCCTAAGCTGGGGAAGGAGAGAGGCAAAGGCTGTGATATCAGAGAAAGTCAGGGGGACACCAGAAGCCACATTAGACTAAATTGTCATGCTCTCAGTAAACAAATAATGGATATGTATGCATTTATAGTAGTGTCTGACAGACAAAATTACTCTGTAAATGTTAGTCTTCTGTTCCCTCAACAGTTAGTCCTGTGCAGAACTTCAAGTTTCACTGTGAACCACCACCTGTCTCACCCCCTCATTAAACCTGTCATTCTGGGGGGATGGGATGGGTGCCGTGAGTGGGATCTGGGTGAGTGGCACAGCAAAACAGAGCATTGTTTTTACCTGGGAGGTGCTCCAGCTGATTGCTTTGCCCAGAGGTGGCTCCCAGGGGGTTGGGGGGCACAGTGGTCAGGAGCCTACCTTGGAGCCGGGGCCCCATCCTCAGGATACGCACACTCAGGGGTCGGAGGCAGTGATTAGTCAACCGGAGCTGAACTCGGACTCTTGTGTGAATCTTAATCAGACTCTTCCCCATGGTAGCCCAGGAAAGCAGATACTTCTTCAGTGGAAATCAGCCAGACAGGGAAATACAGAGGGAAAGGATGGCAAACCAGCTAGGGACAGAGGAGTTCTTCTACTCTCATGCTATGGCAGCGCCTTCACAGTGCCTCTCGTGCCGGAGAGAGCCTCAGCTCCATAAGCCTCAGGGCAGGCTGAGCTGCAGGGAAGGAGCAGCTCTGAGAGGCCCATGTTATCAGGGAACTGGATTCAGTCAGAAGCACTTAGAGCCATAAAAAGTAATGCTTCCCCAGCCTGTAGCTGTTTCTGTGAGGCCCGTCTGTTCGTCTGTCCGTATATGGCCCTAGACCGCTCAGAGGGAAGGAAACAATCCCTGAGGGTAGGAGGAGTGAGGGCTGTTTCAGGAAATCTGGGGTGTGAAGCTATGAAGGCTTCGGACTGAGTGGCTGTGAAGTGTGAGGAAGTGGCACTGGGGCTGGGAATGGACTGTCTCCTCCTTCGCCAGGATGAACCTGGTGACTTCAGCCTCGGGACAGATGCGAAGAGGGGACACACAGTTATGTTTCGTCTAAAAAGGAGGAGAAAAATCATTCCATTCTCCTGAGATGAACACCGCAAAAGAAGTGGGACAGGGAAAGCCACACTCAGGTCTCCTGCTCAGTCTATGGGAGGGTAAGCCAGGATATTGCCCGATGATGGTCAGACCTCCGTGATTCCATCCCTTGCATGGTGACTATACTTGATAGTTAATGCAGCGCCCTTCCAAATTCACACCCACTCTACAGTGGGGGCAACAGGCTTAGAGAGGTTAAGCAACCTGCTCCAGAACCTCACCTTGGACTTCCTGATTGGGCCTCTCTGCTCTGTGCTTGCTGCTTGCCCAGTACATGCTTTAATCTCCTTAAAGTATTGCACACACCAGCTTCCCTGCCACCGATGGCAGGGAAGGTGTCGCCTTTTTACAAGTAGATCAGCAAAGATAATAAGTGAGGCTCTCGATGGTTGCCCAGTGAGGGTTCTCAGCCCTAGAGAACCACACGCAGGTGAGGTGGAGTCAGTGACTTGTCATAAAATCCTAAACCCAAACCAGAGATCCTCCCATGGAGCAGATCCTTCCTGACCCAAGCAGTTTTTCATTTTCATTAATAAGGGGCATTCACTCAGAAAAGACATAGGGCCTTTCCTCCCCAGCCTCCAAGACAGATACCAGTTTGAAATAATCCTGCTGCTGATTCCTGCTGCTTGAGATCTTCTGAGGTCCTAAAAACCATCATCATCATCATGGGGAATGAAAACGATTTCGAACTGGTATCCAGCCTTCGGGGCAAGCTGGGTCAGTAGCAATGGCAGGAGGACACCACTCCCAATCTCCTGACAGTGTTAAGTACCTGGAGACTGGAGGGGTGTTAGCCTCAGGCTGCTGGGGTATCTAGTTCCAACTATACACAGACTTTGTCTCTCTTCCCACCTCCATCTACTCCAAAGGGAGGGAAGGGCTGGGAGAGATGGGGAGACTGGGTTTCCTAAGACAACATTAAAGAGTTCAATAGCAAGAGGGCAGATTTATACAACTGAAGTAAAGGCGGTAGCAGTTATTGAAATGCTTCAGAACCAAGAGTTTGTTTTTTGGTTAACTGCCTCAGCTACCCTGATGATTTAAGCTGTGGAGGTTGGTCAGGTCTGGAAAACGAGTGAAAAGACTCTTGATGGAAAGCAGTTTCAGAACTGCACGGAACCTGGTAGATCCCACGTACACTTCCCCAAGTACTCTGAGATCCATCTCCAGCTCCTAGGCTGCAGCTCTGCAGGGTTGGAGGGAGTTCCCGGTCGCCTGACACCCAGCTGCATTCCCATTCACTGAGTGAAACCTTCTCCCTACCACTGGAGAAACCTGCTGCCATCTCTAATGCAAATGCCCCTCTTTTCAAGGTCCCTGAGTGGAACTGGTCTAAGTTGCAACCCAGGGAAACCTGTGGTTAGCTCCAGAGCTCATGCTTACCTTCCATGATGGAGATGTGAACAGCTCTTCTCCGGGTCCTGGGGACACTGCTCAGCCTTGGCCCATGGGTTATGGAGGGACAGCTGCGGCTGGGAACCATCCCAGCTCTGAGGTTAAAGAACACTGTTAGCTCAGTGCGCAGAGAGCTGTGGTCAGGACTCGGAGTTGACACCTGGTTACTAGAATTGCCTGGCTGTATTAAGTCTTTTGTGTTTTAAAAGATCTTTAATACCTGCTTTTTTTGCTTTTAGTCCCTGGATCCTACTCAGAGACCCTGCTGTAAACTTGTCCACTTTCTTCACCCCTGACCCACTGGAACCTTCCTGTAGTGTGGCCACTGGTCTCTGGGCAGGAGGGTCAGGGAGTAGTAGTTCCCTAGGATAATCCGTGCTCCCAAAAATGTGCCTGAAGATGGACATGACAGCCTCCCCTGGCCTCCAACAGAGGTGGCTGGTGGTGGGGGCTTGTGTGAAGGGGCAGGTAGTTAACGTTCCCATTCCCAGAGGTCAGGCTGGCTGACAAACCATAGCTCTCCTGGCTAATCATATTCTTTCTGGGTCTCTTTGGGTTCCAGGAGATGGGCTTCAGGAAATGCATAATTTATGCTTATGCACAAAGCATGGATCTCAAAACTAGTTTACACATAGTGTGAGAGGGATGCAGGGCAGTCCCTGGCTTTCTGTAATGAACTGATTGCATAGCCAATGAAATCCTGCTGCTTGGACATGTCCTCCATGGTGTCTGAGCAACCTTAGGGCTTGGGAGGACAGGAGAGAATCACCCAGGAAGGTGGCTCCTGGATCTGATGCATTGTCTGTGCTGCCTGTATCGGCCTGCCTTCCCCCATTTTCCTTGCAGGCTGAGGGATTTGAGGGTCAGGTGGCTTCCCAGACCTTTAGCTGAGATGAGATTCTTCTCCTCTCCTGCCCTATTCTCCTTGCCCCTTTTGGGAACCATTGTGGCCATAATCTTCACATTACTCAAACTGCTGGCTCTGCTGGTTCTGGGACCTGTGCTCGAACAGCTTTTGGGGGAAGCCCCTGGCAGCCTACCTGTGGATTTCTGGTGGCTCCCGTTTGATCTTGGCACTTGACTCCATTACTTCCTTTGCAACTCGGCCGCTGTAAGTAGTATAATAAAACAAGGAAAAAATGAGACAGTGTTCCAGGACAGGCTCCTCTGTAAGATCTCGGATTACTCTGGCTGAACTGGGAAATGGCCTCTCTGGCCTGCCCTTCCCACAGTTTAGGCCACTGTGAATGGCTTGCTTGCTGGGGTAGAGTTCTAACGTGCCCTGACAGCTGATCTTACAGAGCGCTCTCTCTCTCTCTCTCTCTCTCTCTCTCTGGAGTCTTTGGGATCTTCCATTCTCATTTATGAATGATTCCTCATTGTCCAGCATGTTCCAAAATATTGCAAAAAACCCCCCTTAGACAGACATGAAAATAATTACTGTCATAGTCCTATTGTGCTGCTGTTGTAAGGGCAGGAGAAGGCACTCACTGAAAACCCTACAGACCCAGCTGCAGGGAAGGAAAGAAATGAAGACAGAATTTGGTGGAAACCTCAGGCTTTTCTGGAGGTTCCCAGTTTCTTTGTTTACAAGGGTAAGGACCGCCGAGCCACTGTCCTGGAGAGAAGGGTCTGAGAATAGGTCCATAATGGTTACTTACTGTTACTATTTACCTGTATCGGAACCGGCTCCCTTTAAAAAATAAATTGCTGCTGGACACTGTGCGGACTTGGCTTGACTTCTCCAGCCTGCAGGAAGGCAAAGTCCAGTGTGAGAGATGGCCTGCAGCTGTCTCTCAGGCTAAGGCAGCGCCTTCCCAGCTCCTTCCAAAGAAACCCCTCAGGAAAAGGCCCTTCACAGCCCAGCTGGTCTCTGAATCTCCTGTAGGACCTGAGGGCTGTGCTCATGGCCTCAGTGCCAGGGACAGGCACGGTGAAACCCACTCTCAAGTCAGGAGAGTGAGGGCTTCCCATGGGTGCTCATGGGGTTGACCAGGGAGACCGAGAGGAAAAAGTTAGGGGGTATGGTCTGGAGGAGTAACAGAATGCCACCCACTGAATTGCAGCAGTGTGACCTTGGGCTTCTCTCTCTGTCTGTCTCTCTCTCTCTCAGCCTTAGCCTTCTTATCTATAAAATAACAGGCTGGGACTATCTGACCTCAGGAGTCCTTTTCAGTCCTAGTATCTGATGATTTGTGTCCATGTCTGGCTGATGAGGGTGGAGAAGAGGGTGGGGTTGCCTTCCTGTGCCATCTCCTTGGAGTCCTAAAGTGTATTACCATATTAAAGGCCCTGGGAAGTCCTGAAATGAAGAAGCTAGCTTAACTTTAATGGAAGTTCCATCATTTATTTGAACTTGAAACCATTCTCCCATCCCCAGAATGCCTATTAACACTACTCTCAAGGCTGTAGAGACAGCTGATGTGGAGACTCTAAAATGAAATACCCTTTCAGGTGACTTCTCTGATTCCACTTCGAAAAGGAAGTTTAGGCAGAGCTGCCCGGAGTGAAGTCTCCCAAGTGTGCCCTGGACGCCCGTGCTGCTAATGTAACCCGGAACCCATCTAAGTCTGGAGCCTTTGCTGGGAGCAGTCAGTAAATATTGAGGGAACTGTCCTCACAACCCATGAGCAGCATTTCCTGAGAGTCACCACCCTCACCTATCTCAGGGCTCTGTGAGGCTCAGCCTGCTTGCCTTCCTGCCCAAGCACATTCGTGAGTCTGACCTGGCTCCCTTCAGAGCACTGGGCCAGAGTCAGGAATCTGTGAATGAGAGATGCTCAGAGGCCAAAGTAGCTGCTGCTAGAGACTTGGCACAACTGGGGATCTGACCCAAGCTAGAGACTTTGAGCACTTAATTAGAACATTAAGTAGTTAATGGGAAACTGCAAAGGGACCTTGGTTTCCACTGTGGGTGTTGGCAGGGTTGGGTAGGTGTGGAGGTCTATTAATGAGTGGAAAGACTCAGAAACTGCACCCTCACAGGTGCAGAAGCACAGTTCTGTTCCCATGACAGAGAAATGAAGGCCTTCAGAAATGGTGCTGGAATGTTTTCCTGGCTTTCCTTGGACAGCCAGGGACTGAATGGGAGGGAAATTTGACCATGCAAAAGAAGTCATCTTTTCCAAGTGTCTTCTTCTTCATGAGAGGAATAAAGATCACTCAACTTAGCATTCAAGCCACCCATTCAGTTCATCCTGATTCTGTATCAAATGCATAGAAAGTTTTAAGCAGTTCAGAAAGCCTGCCCAAGAAACAACTTCTGGGGTGGTTTCCCCAGTAAGAGGGAGGAGTCCAGTTCTGCTGGTCAACATCCCAGAGCAGCCTGCATGGGTAGCAAGCAAGTCTGCTCTCTCCAAGATCCTTCAGGTTACTGGAGGGAGAACTATGGCCTGTCGGGCAGAACATACCATATACTTTTGTCTTATGTTGTCCTCATTAAGACATAGCTTGTTAAATCATAAACTATTGCATTCTAAAAACAAGACCAAGGGTTTTAGTGAAACACACTTTATCTGGCATCACCCCAGTTTCTCAATGGGCTCTTTCTTTGCTCCCTAATGCCTTTATGACCACTTTCTTAAGCAAAGAAAACTGAGCACAAAACTCTCAAACACTTTAAAAAATTCTCTGGTAAATAAAGTTGTTTTTGGCTTGAAGTAGGCTTCTTAATACCAGACAAGTCCTTGCCCCCCTCCAGCTACCTCATTCCAGGCTCCAGGGCACTTGGCCTGTCATTTGGCAACACTTCTGGCTGTGAGGTTCCTGGAGGGGCAGGAATCAACGCCAGCTTAGCACCGGGTCACCCACTGGGGAGTGGGCCCCAGGATCTTTCTAAGGCTTAGGGAACTGGTCTAGGCTGCACCTGCTCTTTCATGGACCTGTGGTGTTCTGAGCTGTCTTAGGGCTCGGACTGGCCCCACAGGGCCGGTTTGGTTTGAGTCAGGCACCCACGGGATTTTTCTGGCCCAACAATGAAAACCCAGGCCTGGTTTGCCACTGAGGGCTGTCCAAGGACATCGCAAGGCAATTCCCTTAGGCAGCTCTACCAAAACATGTTTCCAGACCCATTCAGTTCTGTCCCTTAAGGGGGTGCACACAGACACCCACCCAAAATGGGGTCTGAGTTTTATAAAGAAGCCTAGCCCTGTCACCTCACATCTTATTTCTCCAAGTTGCCTGTCCATCAGTGCTCTAAAAGTAGCTTTTATGACTTTGGCTCTGCTAACGACAGTCCCAAGTGTCCACTCACTTGTAGAAGGCTTGGTTCTCAATTCCACATTTCCAGAGGTGCTTGCAGGCTTCTGGAGTTGGAGCAAAATATGTGAGAATAATTTTCTTTTCCTACAAAAAATCCCACATAGAAACAGCTGAGTGTGGATACAGAAGTGGAAGGTGAAGTAGGCCAGGACACTGAGCCCTGAGCTTTCTGAGGGCCCCCACAATGCGCACAAGCTGTGGACGGGGAAGGGGCTGCTGGCTAGTCAGAAGAGAAGGCCTGCAGGACCCCCTGGGACAGGGCCCATCAGAGTCAGTCTCAGCTGGCACAAACTGAACCAAGAGTTCTCACCAGAGAAAGTGGTTCTCATATCTAAAATGTTTTTTTTTTCTATTTATTATCTTGGAACTTCCATATGGAAGCAAAATAATCTTACTTTTTGACTATACTTCCTGGAGGCATGGAACCTCTGGGTATCACTGGAATCCCTAAGGGAGCCCTATGTTCCAGGGCCTAGCCACCTCACCCACACCTCCAGGTCTTGACCTTGCTCTTAGCTTAGCATGCAGATGGCTTAGCTCTACCTGGATGGAGCATGGTGGTTCAGCCCTGACCATCGGGAACCATCCTAGTACCCCAGCCCTCCTGAAAAGAAGGATGCCAGCACTCACCTCTTTCTGACTTACATATAAATAGAAAGTCTTCCCTTCAAATTTCAGCTTGGTCACTTCATTCCTAGAAGCACAAAAAGAGTGCCAGTCACTTGCTGTGGGCTGCTTGCTCACAGCCAAGTCTGGTAGATGCACAGCCCACCCTGACTGGAAGGGGCTCCAGGCACAGACACAGTTTTAGCCAAAATTAGAACTAAAGACAGCAGCGCAGTGTTGGAACAGTTCAATCCACAGTTTTCTGGTCAATCAAACTATAATAACAGGGTGAGAGGAGGAGTTCAGGCTCACTAATAGTGGCTGTAAAGGGAAGCACTGGCATGGGAAGTGAGTCTAGGTAGAGCGGTCCCGGGCCATTTCAGGACTTGGTTCATAACACAGGTGCATTATCCGGATGGGACTATCAAACACAAGATGCCACAGTAGCTGATGAGGCCAGAGTTCAAGATACAGCAAAGAATGAAAAACAATGCAACTAGGTTCTGAGGGAGTTGAGTCTTTCAGGTGACTGTGCCACTGGATGGAAAATGCAGTTTAATGCAGACACATGTCAAACGATCTCGGGGAGGGGATGGAACAACATACCAGAGAGAGAGAACAGATTACATGGAACAGTCATGCAGCGTACTGACCAGGAAAGGGGCTTAGGGGTTTTTGTAGAAAAATCCTTGAAGCCACCAGCCCAGTGAATGGCTGCAGTAAAAGAGGCAAACAGGATGCTGGGGTATGTCACCCGTGGGACAGACACAAATCAGAAGTGACATGGTTACTGTACAAGGCACGGCTTAGACCTCACCTCCACATACTGCTTGCAGCCTTGGTTACATTTACAAAATGGAAAAATGACCAGAGTCATAGGTGGATGTCCCTGAGAGCCAGAGAACTAGGACTCCACACCGGTCACTCTTCCCTCCATTTGCCTGACATGGCTGCCCTTTGGAGCCCAACAGCCCTTCAACCTCACAGGGGGCAAGGTCCTCATTATTCTACCCACTGGCACTACGGAGTCTGACCGTGCACATAGGCCTCTACTTGGCTTCTTCCTCTTTGCAATGTTTAGGGAGATTTCCTCAATATCCTAGGAAGTAGCTGAAAGATAGTGAGAACCATGTATATCCAGTTTACTACTGGACCAAACTGGGGACAGAGGAAGGTCACATTCCCTGGAAATCACGGCTGTGTCAGAATGAGAGTTCACAGCTCTGACTGCCAATTCTGAGCTAATACAAGACATAGTGCATTCCTTCCCCGTTTGACTCCCATTAATCAATCACTCAATCTCTCATGCACAAAATACGTATCAATCGGTTAATATGTAAACAACCACACAGACTGTCTAGGCTTCAGCAAGAAAGACAGGGAAGGGTTTTCTATTTGAAGTGAGATCGGGCTGAGACTTATGAAAGCGGAGACATTGTGAAGAGACTTCCTGCAGACGTGAGAGGAGAAGGATCTAGGGGAGCCAGGTGAACATCAGGGCTTCTGGGAGGGGGGTAGGGATGCTTCAGGAACTGCAGGTCCCTGTAACAGGTGAGTCCCACCTCATGAGGCAGCTACTCTGTTCAGAGTGTGGCCCAGGAGCTGGGCTGAGGGACACCAGACAACCCAACTGTATCTACATGGCAAGTGCTCCTCACTGGGAGGGAGAGTGGTGGCCTGATGATGCTCATTGTCTTTTCTTGAAAAGTATTTTGTTGGACAGAAGACCCTGAACCTTCACCATCTTCACCCAGAGAGCACAGTGAGTTGGCCAGCTTGTGCTGTGTGCGTCTGAGATCAGTTTCATGTCCAACATCAGTTGATCATTTCATCAACATGATGAGCACTCCGTTACCATCATGTTGCCCATCTTTACAAAAGCAGTGAGGGTGGAAAGGTGGGGTCCGTCTCTAAGGTCAGCATGGGAGCCAAAGAGGATGTGGGAGCACAGATGCCCTGCAGTACCCTCAGCAGAGAGCTCAGCAGGAAGCAGCTCCATCCCCAGATTCCCATCGGCTCTTCTGGGCCAAGGAAAGCCACTTTTCCAAGCTCATGTGAGGAATTGGCCAGCTTAGACTTGGCAGTCCAAGGCCCAAGAAGGTACAGAAATCACAGGGGCTTGGTAGAATATGCAACATGTTTTGATGAGGCTCAAAGATATTTGCACAGGCCAGAAAAAGGGTTTCCAGGGCAGCCAAATGTCCACCAACAAACCAGAGTGTGCACTGCATTGGCTCCCAGAGCCACGCAGTGGGACAGACCCACAGACCACCAGAGCAGCTGCGGTTTGGAGTGGCTTCAGCTGAGGCAGTGTCTCCTGCCTTCTAGAAATGAGAGTGGAAGAGGGAGGAAAAAGTGGGGGTGTGACTTGGAGGCAGAGGACACCTGACCCCGAAGGAAGGGGAGAGACAGAGCAGCATCTGTGCTCTTGCAGGCAGTGCCCACAGTAAGGGTTGGCCCAAGGAGGGTGTTTGCCAGGGCAGCAGGGTAACTTCTGTCTCCCCAGGGGACCCTGTGAGTCCCTCCTTTGTTAGGACAGTGGGTGAGGGAGTAAGCACCCCTGCAGATGCTATGGCCCTCAGCAGGGAACCATCCCAAAGTCTCAGTCCTCATGGGAACTATGCTTCTGTAGCATTGGCTCCAGCCCTAAGCCTCTCATCATACCTGGAAACCCACCCTCCACCCTTTCTCCCTCTGGAGAGGCTGTTGGCTCTCAGGAACACTCCTCTGGAAGAACAGGATCCCCAGAAGAGACCACTACCTGCATCAGTTAGCACTGCGGATGCAAGGCTTTGTAGAGGGATCAGAACCGTAACTGCCCAAGGACAGGCAAAGGACAGGGGAACCACAGCCCTCCCCAGTTAGTGAGGTATAAAAAGCCTGCCTTGGAAATGAAGATATTCACCATTTAATGAAGTGGACCCTCTTGTTTCCTTGAAGAACGACAAACCCAAAAGGTGTGAAGGCCAGAAATGCAGCGTTTCCTGACACATCCTGCAACACAGAAAGACTTCTGATCAGGGGGTCAGGGACAGAGGTGACGGGGTGAGGAACAGTTGGTCATCGGTTAATACTCGATGCTGGCAGGAGGTCGCAGGAGGAAGAGCATGGCATTTGGAAGCAAAAGGCAAGTTACTTACCTTCCCTGAGCCTTGATGCCCTTAACTGTAAGTTGTCGATTATAATGATACTGACCTTAGAAGGCTGCTCTGGACTTCCGAAGAGACCAGCGCACCCTCACACACTGCTGGTGGGACTGCAAAAAGGCGCAGTCACTTTGGAAAGCAGTTTGGAAGTCCTTCAAATTGTTAAACATAAAGTTTACCTTATGACCCAGCAATTCCACTCCTGGGCGGGTACCCAAGAGAACTGAAAACGTATGTTTACACGGAAACTTGAACATGAATGTTTAGAGTAGGATTAATTATTCATAACAGCCAAAAAGTGGAAACAATCCCAATGTAACATTGAGCAGTAAAAAGGGATGAAGTACTGACACGTGCTACAACCTTTGAAAACACGGTGATGGAAGAAGCCAGTTCACAAAAAGATCACAAGTCGTATGACTTTGTTTACATGAAATGTCCAGAATAGGCAGATCCATTGAGACAAGAAGCTCTCGGTTGCCAGGAGCCGTGGGGAAGGGGAGTGGCAGTTAGGGGTGCAGGGTTTCTTTTTGGGGGGTGGTAAAATGTTCTAAAATTAGATAGTGGAGATTTTGCATAACTGAATATACTAAAAACCACTAAACTGCATAGTTTTAAAAAGGGTGGATTTTATGATATGTGAATTACATCCCCAAAGAGCTGCCGTGAGAGGGAGGGACGGAGAGGGAGGGACAGAGAGGGAGTGAGAATGTGGCAGTTACCGCGATGGGCCCGACACACCAGCTCCCTCTGGAAAGCTCAGCTGAAGAAAAGCAACTGGCACGTGAAGTGGCCATCACCAGCCCTGGCAGTGCTTTAACCAACAAAGAGGCCCCTGGTCACCTGTCACCATCAGTCTGTAAACACCAGGCTTAAGGTTCTGCTGAGCAAACGGGAGGAGGTGCGGGGGAAGGTGCAGGTCTGTCCCCTCGCCTGGGAAAAGGAGCTCTGGGAGGACCAGGTCTTTTCTCGCGTGGGGCTGTGCTCTCTCAGAGCTTCCTTCGTGGTAGGGGCCTCAGGTGAGAATCTGCTCTCAGGGTGTGTTCAGGTGGCCGGAAAGTTACAGCAGGATGCTGGTCAAATGTGTGGGCAGGATAGTGGTCTGGGCCACCGCTTCGACGGTGCCACAGAGTCCAGGTCAGGCAGCTGGCATGAGGCACCCAAGTGGGGGCCCTGGCTGCCGGGCTCGCCAGTCTCCCGCCTTCAGGATTTCCTACCCTGGAGCAGATCTTCAGCCTCGTTCTTCCTGAGAACAGCGGGGCCTCTGTAAGGGCTTCATGAGCCTCGCCTCAAGGAAAAAAACGCAGCTTTGCCCTAAAACTGTCTCATAGAGTCAGGGTTACAGGTGTGAGCATCTGGGCCCAGGGAATAAATTAAGTATGTTTTGCAAACATTTCCAATTAATGTAGTTTTATTACATTATTTTATTACAGTCCTCAGGGTCTGTAGTGACCCTGACACTTGGCTGCAAATACAATGTCACCCAACCCATGGGCACAGCAAAAAGCTGTTTAAAAATAACCTGGAGATACGGTGAAGCCATGGGGCTGGATTTCCTCCTGTCTGTCATCAGTGCTTGGTGGTGGCTGTTAACACCTGAGCACCAGCACCGCACACAAGCACCGTCCCTGCCTGGGGGCACCTGCGCTAACCCGGCAGGTTGGCAGGTTAAGCTGGCAGATACGGGTCAGGGCAGGCTGGACCTTAGGGTGGGGGATGCCTGGGAGGGGTGGGCAGGGAGGCAGCCCACCTCAGATGGAGGGTGGGCACCAGGAAGCTTTCCACACACTGTGCAGGCAGGAGCCAAGGAACTCCTAAAGCTGTAGGTTTCCAAAGACTGAGACTTGAGGGCGGAGACTTCACCTTATTTGTACTCACAGAACAGGCCTGCAGTGAAGTGCACCAGAGGGGCCAGTGTGGCTGCAGTGGGGCAAGAACATATGGGAGCAAAAATGAGATGAAAGGCACAGTGGGGCGAGGTGGGGGGAGGTTTCCAGGGCTCCCTGACACCGGAGAGGCCTCGAAGGAAGAATGGATGGAAGGAAGGAAACACAGGGTCAGGCCTACAGAGGACTGAGGATGGCTTGAAGTAACTGGGAAAGAGCAGACAGGGCAGCTGCAGGGTGGGCAGGGGAGGGCCTCTCTCTGTTGTGCTGCTGAGCCCTGCAGCCAAGGGAAGGGCGGAAGAGCACCTGCGCTGTAACCACAGCCGTGGGCGGGCCCAGGTTCTGGCTCTGCCACTCCTGCCTGTATGACCTCGGCCAGGTCCCTTTCTGTTTCATAGCCTCATTGAAAACTGAGGGTGGACACTGCCCTCTGCCCTCAGGACATGCTCAGTAGGTACCCAGCACATGCTAGTGGTTGTGTTGTTGATATTAGAGCTGCTACTGACTAGAATAGTTTGTTGAACTTAATTCAAAATCTTATTTTGATAAAACCTAACATGTTACTATTTTTCCCGAGGTTGATGGATTTAAAAGTTGTTAGTTGGGAAATGAGGGTGTGGGAAGTTGGGGTAGAAAGGGAGAAGTTGCTCTCGTTAGGGGACCGTGGAAGAAGGGGATTTGGGGGCCACATGTGGGAATTGAAGTGAAAGTGGGCAGAAGGGGAAGGAGGCAGAGGCTGTTACACAGATCTGTGGGAGTCACTCCAGGCAGGGACTCTGGCCACAGCAAAGGGAACAGAAAGTTCCCCCCCTCCCCGAGAGCTGAGTGCTGCTGGCTAGGCTGCCGGGCTGGCCTCCCAGTGAAGGAAGCTGCTGGACTTAGGGGGGGGGGGCAGCCTCTCCTGACCACACTGGCTGACTTGGAACAGGGAACAACTGGGAACAGACCCTGATGGATGCCACATCATTCCACTAAGAAACAATAGCACGGCGACCAATCCCAGTCCAGTCTCTCATGGAGCAATTCTCCAGACTGCTCCCAATGCCGCAGCTCCAGGTGAAGGCCACTGCAAGGCCCTGGCACCTGGGCATCCACAGAGGGGAGGGCAGCCAGCATGTCTGCTAGTGTCTGGCTCGTGAGGTGTGGGACTTGGAACTACGGTGAGAAACCTTTTATCTGTACCAGGGTGAAAACACAAACAGGCAGCCACACTGACACCTTCTCTGGAACGTGCCCAGTTTCTTCTAACATGCCTTTCTCACTGTGAGCCCGCCTTGGGGACTTGTGTGAGCAAGGAAATACTATGTGACAAAAAAAAAAGGAAATGAGGACGAGAAGTGACACAGACAACAGTGACTTGTCCCCTTCCCATCCAGATGAAATCAGTGCCCACAGGACTGAGCTATTAATGGACCTGGGAGGCAGAACAAAACTCAGGTCTCGACGGCCGAGGTGGCTAGGGCTGTCTCCACCGAACAGTCAGAAGGGTTCAGTTCACTTTTACAGTTTAATGTAGAAATTCGTTTTCAATTTCTCATCTTTGTGGAAAGAGTTTTTGTCTTGTTTTAGGACCCCAGCTCTGTTTACCCCCCCCAGTCCTCACCTTAGGATATGTTGACTGATTTTTAGAGAGATGGGGGGGTGAGGAGAGAAACAGATGTGAGAGAGAAACATCAGTTGGTTGCCTCCTGTATGTGCCCCGAGTGGCGATGGAACCTGAAACCTTCTGGTGAATGGGACGAGGCTCCAACCAACAGAGCCACCAGGCCAGGGCCCCGCTCTGTTTTTCATTTGCTCTGTGATTTATCTTCTCTGAACTTTAGTTTCCTCATTTGTAAAATAAGGACAATAAATAATACTTAAAAAATACCACTTCTGTCTGATGGCCTAAACGACTTAGTGCTAGGACATGGCCAGAGGTGTTTTCATGGAGAGAGGACCAGCACTGAGTCACTCACATGTTCAGTTGGAACCCACCATCAGACTTGACCTGCACCATCGACGGTTTACCTTAAGGTGATCACTCTGCCCAGAAAAGGATCTTGGGAAATCACAGTACTGACTGGTTCTTGGAAGCAGCCCAGTCCCCACAGCCTACACCTCCCGATCCAGTGAAGTAGGCTTCTGTCTGCTGCCTCCCCAGGGGACGTCCTGGGTGTGACGGAGTAAGGACCCAGCATCCTTCGTTGTTACGCCTCTCTGGGTCATCCTTAAGCTAACACAATCTGGGTGCATGAAGCCTCTATTGTTCTTTAAAAACTTTAGTGAAGAGGGACCCACATGCTCTTCCAGACACTCATGCCCATTCCTGAAAGAGCTAGTCGCTGGGAACCTGTAAGTCAATCGCGAAAATCACTGAGTTTCAATGTACTTAAACCCAGCCATCAGAAGCAAGCATGGAAATCAGGAGGATTTCCCTGCAAGAGGCTTGGTATCACCCATGGCAGCTCAGAAAGTCGAGTTTTTCGTTTCAGCAGTGACCCTAACGAAGGCGGCCAATGGGGAGCGCTCGTGAGGGTGAGGGCGAGTCATCACCGATCCTTCTTGTTGTTTCTCTGGGGTCGGGCAACTAGTCAGGCTGGGGAGGAGGGTTTGTTTGGAGAGAAGCCTGGGTGGCTAGATTATGAAAGTGATGATCCAATTTGAAGAGCAAAGTAATGCTGCTGTAATTTTATTTGTGTAGTTGCTCCAACCTAGATCCTGCTGAAATCAGTTTTCTCCTGGTCTTTTCAGAACTGACACAGCCCCCTGGTGAGCCTCCGTTCAAGTTTTGAATGATTTCAGTAGTTTCCTAGGTCTTTGCCTTCTCTCTGTCACAACTGGCAGTGGGCCCCGCTTTATTCCTAAATAAATGCCATCTCCCCAGAGGGAAGACTGTGAATGACAACTGAAAGAGCACAGTATTGAGACAGACAATTCTGGATTCAAGTCCCAGAACTGTCTGCTCTGTACCGGGAACTCTGGATGTGTCAGTTAGTCCCAGAGGCTGAGTGGTCTTATCTTACAAAGAAGAATATCTTGATAGTGTTATTGAAAAGATTAAATGAGATAGTGCACATAAGTGCTTGGCACTTCTGTTCAAGAAATAGCACCTTTATGACACAATCAGGGTGGGCAAGGCTGGGTACCTGTGACGGCCTGCTCACTGCAGCCCAGGCCTGCAGGAGACCCAGGGGAACCGTGAATCCCAGGGCCCCCTAGAAGGAACAGGATGGTGGATCCTGGGGTTGGAGAGGTGTCGGGGCTGGGCAATGGGTGCAACGCTTGGCTGCCAGAGGTTTGCTCCGCTCTCCTTGCCCAACAGCTGTAGGCTTGGTCTGCTGGAGCTCCTGCCAGGAGTTGGGGGCTGGGGGGAGGTGCAGAAAGCTCAGGATAGCCTGTGGAAGTTCAGAGTTTGGGCATCACTGTAAGCCAGCCAGATATTGGAGCCCCCTGTTTGTTCCCACCCAGAGTTGGTAGGATCGCCTCTTCCTGGTCCCAGGGCCAGAGAAGAGGAGACTGTGGGTGGAAAGAAGCCATCAGCATGGACGGAAAGAACAGCAGCTTCTTAATGGGTCCAGGAGAACAGAGCTCAGCCAAAGTGTTGTTCTGCTCTCATTTAATTATCAAAACCATTCCTCCTCCTCTATCCTCCCTATGGCTGCATGCCCCAGATTCCCTGGGCCCAGTAGTTGCCTCTCTGTTAATAGAAATCAACAGTATTTATTACGCTGAGTGCTCCAGCTTATTTCAGCTCTCCTTGTAGCAACATTAAGGTGAGTGCTTGGTAGTGTATCACCAAAGTGACTTCACTTAATGACAAGAGTAAACGCTCCCAAACTGTTCTTGCTGAAGAAAGCTGAGGAAATCCTGAGCCGAACCCAATGAGATGAACTGAGGGGCCACGTGTGGGGTCTGCAGCAGGGTCCTGGTGAGCGAGAAGGACGGGGCCCAGGAAGAAGGGACTGGGAGCCCAGTGCTTTGGCTGCTCCCACCTTCTCCCTGAGGAAGTCTCCTGGGGGCTCCTGCTCCTTAGAGACACAGTGGGAAGTGACTCGAGTTCAAATTCTTACTCTACCACTCAGGGCCCTGTAAACTGTGGCTTCCTGGGACTTGTATCTTCTCATTGATAAACCAGGAAGAATGCCATCCATCTCCCAGGGCTGGCATAAAGATTAAATGAGAAAACAATAGGAAAGGGTCCCGTGGGCCCACCATGGGAGGTGCAGCACACGTGTCTCTTCCTCCTTCCTGCAGTCTCTTCAGACCGTGCCTGAGCAGGACACGGCCATCGAGGTCGGGGCTCAGCCAGGAGCCCACAGTCGCTCAGCAGTGCCCAGTTCACTGTCCACCGTGGGCTGGCAGGTGACAGCCCTGCCCAGGGACCCATCTCTGCAGAGGTGGGCACTCTGCATGGCCTCACGGGGACAGGACAGGTCTGGAGTCAAAATGAGAGACACTAGCACCTTCTGGTGACAGAATCTATTTTTAGGTAGCCCTGTACTTCAAGGTCATGAAGTGATTCAGCAGTTCAGGGTGGAGCACTGGTACTGAGTGCCCACTGTGTACAGATGAGGCAGGTGAGGCCCGGGGAGCCTCCCGAGGCCCCGGTGAGGAGGAGACCAGGACCAGAGCCAAGGCTGCCGACTGCAGGCTTTCTTCCATCCTGTGTGGGCCCCCAGCTGACAGTATTGGAGCAATTAATGCAGGCTGAACGACAGCAGTGATGCAGAGGGCATTATTGACACAGAGCTTTGCTAATTCATTTTTAAACATCCATGTGTGAAACTTTTGGTGTAAATAGGCATCAATGTGTTTTCTGACAGCGCTGGTCTCCCAGAACACAGGGGTCATCTGGCAGGAGACTGTGCTGGGGGGTTGGGAACTGAGGGGTTGAGGAAGGTGCCCAGGGTTTCGGAGTGCCAGGACGCAGAATGTCGTCAGAGTGCACATGTGACGCTTCAACACCAAATCCTGGACAAGAGCACATCACGGTCACCTCACCAAGAGGCCAAGGGAAACGCAGCTCTGCCCCCACATCACTGGGCTCCTTGGTTTCTGTTCTTTCAACTTTGTTGGAAACTTATGATGTCCCCTCAGTGTTCTGTTCCCACTGGGCACTGTCTTCCTCAGATCAGTGTGAGGATCGGTTTTACAGGTGGTGCTGGGGTCTCTCCAGGGGTGGAAAGACAGAGGTAAATGCTGGGGGAAACTGAGGCAGAGACAGGAGTGTCAAAGCAGGTAGCGTATGGAGAGGAGGTAGAGGGATATGGCCACAGTACAGGAAAAGACCATGGGTCTCCACTGCTCTCCACAGTGGCTGTGGCCGCCTGAGCTCATCTCCGAAATGCCAGACACATGTAAGTAGTTACGGAGGTTTTTTCTGGGCACAGCCTGCCTGGCTGGCTCCTGTCTCACCCTCACACGCACGTAATGGAATCAAATGGGACTCCACTGCAGTTCCGTGCAGTGACTTACGCTGCCACAGTCAATAAAACCCACTCTCGGAAAGAAACTAGATTACAGGTCAGGGAAGGGCAGGCAGTCCTCTGATGGGTCCCTGAGGGGCAGGGGCGCTTCCTCACTGCCCCTCTCTTCACTGCCACCAAATTACCCACCGCCGCCACGCTGCAGCCCCAGTTTTGTTATTTAGACTGACTTTGCCTCAGAACCCTCTGACACTGATGTGGCAACGTAAAATTAGGCAGCTCGGAATCCAGAGCAGTTTTCAAAACGAGACATTTTCTCTGGCGTCTGTCACTAAAAGCTAATCACCCAGCTGCTGGAGGGGTGGAGGTCTTACCTTACACGGGTGAGGGTCCACTCCGTACGTCTCCAATGTCTGCGCCTTTCTTAAAAAGTTCAGCTCTGAAGTTGCTGGTGTTTGACCACTGGAATAAAGAAAATCAGATGATTTCAGGTGGGGCAAATTATTAAGTGCTCAGGATAAGGCTCACACCACAATTTTTCCAGACCGTACTCTCTGCTCTGTTCCAGGAACAACTGCTGAGATTTCCTGCCTAGGATCAAAAATGCAGATGTGTTCAGAGAGAGGCAGGGCAAATAATGAATGACATGAGCTGAGGGTAACAGCAGGGATGGGCGGGGACCGGGGCAAACTGGGGAGTGCCGCCCCATCTAACGCAGGCAGGTGCTCCTCTGCTCCAAGACCATAGTTGTGGGGATGCGGTGCCCAGCACTGTCAGATGGAATTTTTAATGAGAAGTCAGACGGCCCAGGAATACCAGGTGCTGTGGGCTTTTGCCGCACTCCCCTTTTGCCCCTGCCCCAGCCAGGCCACAGACACATAAGAAAACACACGTACCAGTTCACACACTGGCAAATCCACACCCCACGGATCAAGGGTGCCCGAGTCTCTTTCTCCCGTGGAGGTAAAATAAATAAATAAACAAGCAAACAAACTAATAAAGAGAAATCAGAGATGCTGTTTTTATGTGGTATTTCATGATCTAAAATATTATAGGGGCAAACAAATCACACCTGTCACCTGGCTGCAGGCCAAGGGTTTCTCATCTGTGATCTAATCGAGACTGAAATACAAGGAAGAGGCCTGTACATCTTGCTGCTTCGCCAACCCTCTTGCTTTACCAAGAGGGAATTCGGGAATGGAGGTGACAAGACCTCCAGCAGGAGACGGCACTGAGCTCCCCAGGTGCCACTCCAGCTCAGTGTGACACAGGTGGTGACTATGAAAAGGGAATGAGCAGCAAAGGAAGAAACCAGCCCTGGCGCCAAGCCGCCCGGAGAAGGGGCCTTTGGCAGCAGCGTTCCCCTCCCGGCTGCCCTTTGGCAGGTGCGTAGAGGAGCTCGACACAGACCATGGCAACGTCACCACTGTCGTGCTTGCGGGACCCAAAGCCCTGGCAAAGCAGACGTACTTCTGCAGACGTGGGGGTGGCTTCAGGGTGAGGAGGGGCAGGCAACTGGTTGTGAAGGGCAGGCAGACGTGCGACCCACAGGAAGAGCAGGCCAGATTCCCTCCAGCGTCCCTCTGGAGAGGCAGCAGCCAGCCTCTGTGCTGCCTGTGGTAAAAGGCACCAAGACATGCTGCACACCACGTGGGCCCTTGAGCAGCTCACGTTAGAGTTGGAGAAAGGAAACGCAGACACGTTTCTACATTGTGGAGATGAAGCTGAACCTGTGTAAGTAGTCCCTGTGTGTAGGCATTAGGTCGACAGCACACTTCTACATCCACCGGCTGAGACGAGGGGTCTGGAAAATGCTCTTGCAGTTGGCCAAGGGCTCAGCCCCTAGTTCCATTCACCTCTGAAGGTGGCCAGAACTTCTGGGGGCCTCCAAGCGGGTATCATCTTCCTGGGGCATCTCCAACCTTCTACTAGGTTTCTGAAGGACCGTCCCCCATCTAAAACCCTCCTGGCTGTGCCTCAGGGGAGTCCCAGCACATCCCTCCTACCTGCTTTGAATGAACCCTGAGCCGGCACACAGGTCTGTGTATTCCGACCTTGACCACAAGGGGCCGCTATTTCCACAACAGAGTGATAGGAGGAGCTGTCACCCAGAGAGGCCGGGTCACACAGGGAGAGGGGTGGGAAGTGGCCAGGCTAGGGTTCCACTTTTGATGGAAGTCTCCACGCCTCTGGGAGGATCGGGAACCAGTCCTGCCACACACAGTGCGTGGGAGCTCTGTTTACAAAGACCACGGAGGCTGTGGGGACGTATCTGTTGGTAAAATTTTTGAGTGAAGGGGGACCAGCGAATCAGGGTAGGGACTAGTTTGGCTTACTATTATAATTAGAAACATCTTTTACCCCCTCTCAGGAATTTTTCTCCAGCAGAATGGTAGTTACACAAACATATAAAAAGATATTTTTAATTATATTGATAATAATAGCATGCTTTATTTTTACAACAATGTGTTGTATCATTTTTCTTCGTACTTTATCTGTTTGGGGAATTGGGGCTCCAGCATGCCACACAAAGCGGAGCCCAAACATCCTGTTTGTGTGTTTCTTTTCATCAGTCTCTGTAGAAAAATCCTATCTCATTCCGGTGAAAGGATGGATGCGTTGATGCTATTTGATGAAATTAGGAATATTCTGGGTGAACTGAGAATCTCTGAAGGGCAAGACTCCTGCTTCCAGGTGTTTTGCTCCTCTCTGCTCAAGGGAGTGGGGTTGAGGCAGCACTGCAGGCACCGTCCCCGAACCGAGTGCTCTCGCGGCACCCGAGGTACCTGGGAATCAGGGCGCCGGTGCAGGCCCACCCACGGACCCGGAAGCCCCTGAACACAGTCTAGACTGCAGGCAGAGGCTTGCTCACTTTCCAACCCCCACTCAACCCTTCCTCTCTAATCTTTTTCCTTTTCTGTTGTTTGTTTTTCTCTTCCTTTTTGTTCATGCTTTTGACCTCTGTCTCTTCATTTTTTTCTTGGTGAAGCAAGTACCTTTCAGGCCAACAACCCCCGTCTATTGTCCTTATGATACAACATCTCTCTTGCTTTTCAGAGGGAGCCCACGGGCTTGGTTGCGGTCACTGAAAATGGTACATCCAGAGTCAGGAGGGTCGGGCTGTGCGGGGGTCAGTGTCCTGGCCTTGGACCGAGTGTCACTCACCTGAGTTCTGTCTTGTGAATCTCAGCAATTTTCCTTTCCAGCTTCTCTGAATGTTTAGGGAAAAACTGGAACTTGGAGCTGTAGCCTTCAGGGTGTTTCCCCGGGTCATAATCTCCAATCTCCGCTGGTAAAAAGAAGGTAGAGGAAAACAATTGTAGAGATGGGCAAAGCAACAGGATTCACACACAGAGCAAAAGTCAAAGCAGGCAGCAGATACACAAAGAACCATGGATCTTGAGCGTGGCTGTGGGTCGGCGGAGGACGTGTGTCTTAGGAGCGCGCCCACAGCCGTCTGCCCAGGCAAGTGCACTGAGTGATGCTGAGGCTATGCAGAGAGATAGTAGAGTTGACCCTGTGTTCTGAGGGCACCACAAATAAATTTTCAATGAAAGAGAGAAGTTTACACTGCCAACCCCATCCATTTGGTTATGAGAGGAAGGCCCGGGAGCAATGTTCTTTGTGGCAACACGGGATATCAAGCTTGATCAGGAAGATAGAGAACCCCTTGGGCCTGAGTCAGCTCAGAGGAAATCTCGTTCTGAGGGTTTTAGCACAGACACAGCAAACTGCTGAATAAGCCATGATGCAAATTCAGAACTCAACTCTCAGTCCAAACCAAATGAAATCAAGTGAATAAATATCCACTGGGGGCTGAGCAGGTGCCAGGCACCCTGGAGAGGACGGCGGGGTGGGGAAGACTGGCTGGAACCAGAAGTGCCATTGGGATCAGCAGCTCCAGGTCCTCAGGCCAACTTCTCAGCTCCCTGCACAGGGTGGGACTTCCACCCAGAGCCCATCCCTACTGCTGCTGAGCTCGCAGACCTTAGAGCTTCATGGGCAGGGGTGGTGGTGGGCCCACGGTGTTCTCCACGTGTGTTCCTAGGTGAGAACCTAGCTTTGTCCACATCATGTACTCTACAAGGAACAGCATGGGTATGTGAAGAGGAAGGGTGTTAAGAAGCTGTAGCTACTCTGTGGTTGTCCGTTCTCCTTCCCTAGTGAGAACCACAGGCAGCACAGAGAGGAGGCGGTGTGCCCTCCTCTCACAGTTTAACATTACGCGTCCAAACACTTGCGGATTTCTATCACTAAGCGAGAGACTAGAGGCTTCCCTGGGCTTAAAAGTTCAGAGTGACCTTGAGCTGTGGAGTCGTTTATTATGATTCTATTTAGAAAGCTCCAGATGGAAAACATTGATGTTGGATTTCAATTTCCTTAAAGAAAAAAAAAAGAAAATTCTAATGTGGTTGTCAAGGTAAACTGAAGGAAAGGGTGGAGTTTAAAATTTCACTTAGTCTGAACCAGGCTCTCCTTTAAAAATGAAAGGAGCCTGTTTGGGTACCTTAGGGTTGGCAAGCACCTTCCTGTTTAGGTGATTTTTAAAAACAGGAGTCTCAGAAGCCAACGTCTTAATGGGCTGACTTTTACATTCATAACGTGCCTACGGTATCACTCCTGCCAGAAGGATTTTAGTTTGCTGGCGAGGATCTTCCAGGTTCTCTTCATAAAGTAGCTTCCTGGAGTTCACAGGTTTCTAACTAAGAGTTCACGTTTTTAGGTGGAAATGTCATGACTTTAGTGCTATGGTCCCAAACAATCCGGTGACAGTTTCAGGCCCAAGGACCAAAAGTCATCTAGGGAGTGGCGCTCAGAAGAGCCCTGCAACTCAGGAAAGGACGGGGATTACACATGACGAGCGCCTCCCTTTCCCACCGTTTCTGCAGAAAAAGCCAGTCTGGGCACCAGCTGGGCACAGACTCAACTCTGCCTTATTAGCATATTAGCAAATGTGTTTCTTACTTAGAACCATTTTCAACTTTGAGCACTCTGAACGGAAAGGGCTCTGAAATAGACACCAGAATTCCAAGATGCTTCACATCTTTGAGATTTGCATGAAAGGAAAAAATGGATTCAGATTATTCTCCAGAGTCTCAGTAACTTTATCAACCAAGGATGAAAAAACACCCCAAAAGCAGCAAGAATGATCTGAAGGGCTGGCACGAAGCCCTCAGGTACAGGGTGGGGTTGAGGGGTCAGAGCCTCCTGGGTCTAGGGAGTCAGGGTGAAGCCCACCAATTCAGACTCCACTTCAAGTTAGAGGTATCTGTGTATATGCAAGAAGTAGTCATCTGTGGTAACTGAAATAATGTGATCAGTAGTTAGCATGAGAAGCAAATTTATCCTGTCAAAAGTCATTACCTTGAAGGATATAAGCCGCTAACAAGGCGGCATCTGATGTTTTGCAGAGGAGGCGACCGTGGTAGAGATCCCTTTTGATCTGTAGGAAGACTAAATACCTGGAGAGAAAACAGAGTGAATTGTAAAGAATTTCTTTGCTTTAAAGACAAAATCTCTGTTAGGACACTTATACTACATTAAAAAAAAAATCTCGAAACATAGCACAGAACAAGTACATTTTCCACTTCCCTAAAGACACTTATACTACATTAAAAAAAAAATCTCGAAACATAGCACAGAACAAGTACATTTTCCACTTCCCTAAAGACTCTTTCAAGTTCTTGGCCCTGAACTGATTCGAGGTTCGATTCAAAACAGCCTGTCAGTTTCTTTCTGTAGCTCAGAACAGAAACGGCACAAGCTGGTAAAAACACTGTGCCCCCAGCGCTGGACTTTGGAAGCAGCCGGCCCAGATGAATTCAGTGCCAAAAGAAAGAAACTTAAATAAAGGTTGGTAAGGATGTGGAAAAAAGGGAACTGTCGTGCATTGTTGGTGGGGATGCAGACTGGTACAGACACTATGGAAAACAGTATGGAATTTCCTTAAAAAAAAACCACTAAAAATGGAACAGCCAGTCCTGGCTGGTATGGCCCGATGGACTGAGCACTGGCCTGGGAACCAACAGGTTGCTGGTTCTATGCCCAGTGAGGCCACATGTCTGGGTTGTGGGTCAGGCCCCAAGTAGGGGGTGCACAAGTGGCAACTACACATTGATATTTCTCTCCCTTTCTCCCTCCCCTCCCTTGTCTAAAAATAAAATAAATAAAATAAGTGGAACTGTAATTTGACCCAGAGATCCTACTTCTGGAAATATAGCCCAAGAATCCCAAAACAGCATTCGTAAAGAATACGGGCACCCCCTATATTGACAGCAGCATTATTTACAATAGCCAAAATCTGTAAACAGCCTAAGTGCTCATCAGTAGATGAATGGATAAAAAAGATTCGGCACATTTACACAATGGAATACTATGCAGCTGTGAAAAAGAAGGACCTCTTACCCTTGGACAGCATGGATGGACCTGGAGAATATTACACTAAGTGAAATAAGCCAGTTGGAGAAAGACAAATACCATATGCAACTCATATATGGAATATAATAAACTGATGAACAAAATAGGACCACAGGCAAGGATACATGGAACAGACTAACAGATCTCAGAAAGGAGGGCAGTTGGAGGACTGGAGGAGATTAGCCAAAGAACATATATGCATATACGCATATCCCGTGGATGCAGACAACAATGTGGTGAAGACCTGGGGGTGGGCAGGGGTCAAAGGGTGGGGAGAAATGGGGGTCTTCTGTAATAGTGTCAACAATAAAACAATTTTTGAAAAAAAAAACCAAAAAACCTGTATCAGAAGAGAGGGGCCGATGGGGCCTCTCTCTGCCTTGGACTCTGGCTGATTTTCCTTTTTAAAAAGAGGAATGGCGGATGAAGTAACTGGCCCAAGGAAGAGTTGTGCCTTGGCTTGTCAAGAGCACCTGTCCGCCTGTGGAACAGGCTTCAGTTACTCGCAGAGGCCAGGCAGACCGCTCTGAACTGGGTGAGGTGAGAGAAGAGGCACGGGTGAAGGCAGCACAGAAACTGTGGGTGGCGATTCTTCGAGCCCAGGAAGCTCTCACCTCTGGTGGAAGTGGGGTGTCAAGAGAAACAGCTAATAGCAACTGGCAGGTGGTAAACTCTCACTGGCTGCCAGCCCAGGGGTTATGCACTCTGCATGCACTATCTCACCTCAGCCTCACCAAACGCTTTGAGATAGGTACTAATGGTATCCCCTGCCCCCGCCCCAGCTTTAAAATAAAGAATCTGAGGCTCCAGTGATTTCCACATGGGCACACAACTGGTAGGGGGCAGAGCCAGGACTCAGATTCAGGACGGTCAGACCCCTAAGGCCAGCCCTCAGTCACTGTGTTGCACTTGCCCTCCTGGCCCTACAACTGCTTTGTGGTTTCATGAGCAGTTGGTGGACCCTGCCTCAGTAGAATGGAATGGTTGACTTTCCATTTTGAAAGTGTCTTTATAAGGAGAGGGGTCTGTTTGTAACCTCACTGGCACCCCAGGAAGAGCAAAAGCCAGGGAGTGCTCACCCTTCAGTGGCTTCTTGGCCGGTGGGGGGGTGGGGCACCAGTGGTGGTTTAAAAAATACGTCTGTCAGTTCTTGGCTGCTACTCATCTCCAGAGGCAGAGCCTACTTCCTTCCCTTAGAGTGTGGGTTGAACTTAGTGACTTGCTTCTAACAAACAGAACAAAGCCAGAGTAGTGGTATCTGACATCTGAGACTAGATCATAAAGTCATCACATCTTCCTTCCTGTTCTTTCTCTTGGATCACTCATTCTGCTTGAGGGCACGTAAGCAGCCCTTTAGAAAGGTCCATGTGGTGAGGAACTGAGGCCTTTTGCCAACAGCTAGCAAGGCAGTGACACGTTCCGCCAACAGCCTCATGAATGTACCATCTTGGAAGTGAATCCTCCATTGAAGCCTTCAGATGACTGACAGTTCGAGAGACCCTGAGCTGGAACCACCCAGCTAAACTGCCCGGGAATTCCTGACCCACAGGAACTGAGGGGTAATAAATGCTTGTTAGTTTAAGTTAGGCTTTGTGGCATTTCGCTAGACAGCCATGGATAACTACAGTGTCCCCAGGGGAGTGATGGACATAGTAAGATTCCCTTAAATGCTACCAGTCTGAGCCAGAAAGAAAGTGGGCCCTCCCTGGGCAACTAGAGGTTTCCACTGCTTCTGTTTTCAGGCTGAAGAATGAAAGAGAGGATGCTGGGCTCACTTGATCACGTGACAATGCTCAAAAGAAAGGGGACCATTGACAGCGCAGCTTCCAGGGTGAGGAGGGGTACCAGCAGGCGACTCTGAGAGCCCTGGGCTTGGTGATTTGAGTAATTAACAAACAGAAACTAAAGAGCAGGCAAACCTCCTCTCTCCCAAGGCCTCGCTGCTCAAAGTGTGGCCGCAGATCAGCACCACCTGGGAGCTCGTTGGAAACGAGACTCTTTGGAAACGAGACTCTTTCGCCGGTCCCAGATCTCCTGACTCATTTTAACAAGATATGCAAGTGACTTGTATACAGAATAAAGCCTAAGCATCCTTCTAACCACCTCAGGATGGACTTCCCTCCGCAAAACACGAGCAGGGTGAGTATTACAGTCTGGAAGTTAGTAAGGGCTCCCCTCGTCACCTCACCCACCATCACCAACACCACTCTGCCCCAGTGTCTGCCACGAAAAACTGGAGGAAAAAGAAACCAGGCAGAATGGGATATTAAGATGGATCTACCAAATCAAGCTTGTCTTCACTCTGCTTCCCACGGTGGAATGCCACACGGTGTGGGAGAGAGGGAGGGAAAGGAGGGGAAGATGGGGAGAAGGCTTCTCTGCCTCTCACTGTGCCCAGCTGCCACCTTCCACAGGCTCTGGCCGCACGAGGAAGCAAACCTTTCACCCCATACTCACTGGTCCCTCCTCCCACACCTCTCTGCCTACCTGTGTCCAAAATTCAGGGACTGCACATACTGCATTGAATAAGGTATTTCAAAGGGACAGTAAGGCTCTGGGCCGTGATTCTCAATGTTGTGGCCATTAGGAGAACATTCCCCGGAGGAGCAAGTCAGGATCCATGTGTGTATGGGTGCTCCTGGGTTTGAAAAAGCCCCTCCAGGGCCCTCTTTGCCCAGGGGGGACACACTCCTCCTCGAAAGGAGAACCACTTATCTGTATGAGGCGCCTTTATTGATGTGTACATTCCAGGTGCCTCAGGTGAGCTGCAAAGGAAACAACACTTCCCCTGAGGGGCGGGGTTTCTTCAGACATCTGCTACAGGGGGCAGCTACAGGGAGGTCAAGGGTAAGGCCAAAGGAACCTTGCTAGGCAATGATGCAGCAATTGGAGGGGGAGGGGGAGGCAGGGCAACTCAACGTCCCAAAGAAACAAACCAGAATTTAGAGGACAAGAAGAGATGAGCTCGTGAAAGGATCCACTGGCAGCTTCAAGGCAGAGAGTTGCAATAAGGGGCCCCCCTGCCTTTTCTGCCTCAGTGCAGCATCTTCCATCAAGATGCATGTTTTGTTCACTTATGGAGGTAACCGATGACTCGGTGTTGTCGGTCATGAAAACATATCCCATGTGATTCACTGCACCCTTAGACCTCTTCTCAAGAGATCCTGGCATGTCCTCCCCTGCCACACATGGCCCAAGGGAGACCATCTCGTGGCCCAAGACACTGCCACCAGGGTCACTGTGTTGCCAGGCAAGGGATCAGCTTCCCGGGCCGCCCAGCCTTGCCAGCTCCTGATGAGCAGGCTGACTGGGTTACCCAACCCCAGAAGCCCAGAACAGGAGTTACAGAGCCTCGGCCCCTCATTCTGCAGTGGAGGAAGAAGTCCAGACATGTAGAATGACTTGTCTGAGGTGACAGTGATCAGAATCAGGACAGCCTCCCCACCTAGGGCCTGGTGCTTCCTCCCCACTACAGTGCAGTGACTCAGTTAATTATCAGGCTGGGGCCTGGGGGAGGGTCCTAAATGAAGTCAGATTTAAGACAACAAGCTTGCTCCTTCAGGACACTTTTTTGGGAAAACTCTGCCCACCTCCCCTGGCCGCAGGAGGCTCTACCTCACTTCCATTTTTAACGTGTGCACTGTCCTGCACTGACGGGGGCGTGAAAAGGCGAGAGTCTAACAGACGACTGAGGAAAACCCGAGTTTTTCTGCAACACGTACGTCTCTTGAAGGTATTGGCTTTGGCATTATGCTTTTGACATCAGAAGGTGGGGATGACTCTGCAGGTATTTCCGGAAATAAAGGTTCTGGGCCTTAGAAAGCACTGGCAGCTCCTTTACAGTTTCTTCCGGAAGAGCCTTTGGCCCCCCCCTCCCTTCAGTAGGTTATTTGCCTCTGGCTTCCTCCATTTTCTACCATCCTTTCCCCCCAGATAGTTGTGCTGAGTCTGTCCTCCCCCACACTAGATGCATGCTCCTTGGAATCAGAGACTACATTCCACTTACTTTAATGTCCCCCTAGGGAGCACATGTGCCCCGCGCCCAGCGCGCCTGCTCGCCCTGCCTCCCACTGGCCACCCAGCCGTCCAGCTCTGCGCACACACCTGTGCCAGGCAGGTGCCGGGAGGACGGCAGGGAACAACACAGACTCCTTCCTCTTACGGAGCCTACATTCCGTTGGGAGAAACAGGTGACCTGAACAGCAAAATGAAACAATGATGACGACCTACTGAGTGCGTGCTGTGCGCCACACGCTGTGCTCTTTAACACTTGCCTCTCCTTGAGTCCTCACAGCAGTGAGGTGGCTGCGAGGGGACTGCTGCTTCTGTCCCTGGCTCACAGATGAGGAAGCTGAGTGGTCAGACACTGCTCTTGCCTTGTCACACAGCTAGTGAAAGAAAAACCCGGAGTGTGCACCCAGGGGTTTTGAACCCTTTTGGATTCCTTAGCCCAGGGTCTGTGAAGACAGTTTGCCACCGTGGTTTCCAATGAAATAAAATACAATTTTGTTGGGACGCAGACATGTTCATTCCTTCATATGTCATCTGGAGCTGCATTTGCTCTGCAGTGGCAGAAACGAGTAGCTGTGACAGAGAGCACGTGGCTCGCAAACCCTCCCGGGGTTCGTGCTCACCACCGGACCTTTCACGGAGAAAGCCGGCCAACCCTTCTTAGCCGAAGCTGGGCTTGAGTGATATTCGCTGAAGGGATGGATAAATAGCCTGAAAACTCCATTCACTCCTGCATATAGAGTTCATTCTATTAACAGTGTTTTGAGCAACTGCTCAAACGAGTGTCGGGCAGCGTGCTTCTTGGAAGCCGGGGCCCCATTTGTACTCGGTTTCTGTTACTTGATCTTTCCAAAGGGCTCGTACACCTGCGGTCCCTGTTAAAAGCTAAATCTGGTGCCTAATCCCCATTTTCTCTGCTTTGTCTTCAGCTCAGACAAGAAAAATCTATTTATTACTTTAAAAAATGACAAAAGAGATTAATCAGGATTTGGCAACTAAATTTATCATCTGGGAAGAGTCCAAGAGATAATAAATTGAAGCAGTTCTCTCCCTACTTCATCCCCTCCTCTCAGCCTGGCTTTATGGGAAAGGATGAGACGGAGGTGAAATTTAGGACCAATATTACTAGGAAAAAGCCCACTGACAGCTAAATTAGTTTGGCAGTAAAGTGGTGTGGAGGGCTGTAAGCCAGGAATGAATTATGGGTATTGAGTAGGGCCGGGCAGGTACCTGCTCTGAAGATCAGCAGGGATGTGAATGAGGAACATGATGCAGCTAATTCTAAGGCCTCCGCTGAACACTTCGCCTTGGGGGAGGGGCGGCAGGAAGACTCCAAATCAGGCTAAGGCACCCTGTGGCTCACACTCCTGACAAGGCTCACAAACTGCATTCTAGGGAAGAAAGGCTGGTGAGATGCACAGTGATGGTGGGGTGGGGCGGGGTTGTGGAGCTCACACACTTGTCGGTGCCCTTGAAGTTCACTGACTGGCTGAGAGGCCCAGCACGTACCTCCTGCCATGCCAACCAGGACTTGGATGATTACCAAAGATGGCTTTCTCTCTGAGTTCTCAAAGGTAGCTGCTTAGGTGTTAGGGATTCTTGCTGGCAGGGAATGGGGACAAAAGAGGTATGGGGATTATCAGAAAAGAAGTACCTTTCACAGAAACGAGGAGACAAGCCAGAGCTAACTGTACTTGTGCCCCATAAGCAGAGCCCCTGGGCCATGGACCATGTAATCAGCCCGGCAGTACACAGATATGGAGTCTCTGCTCAATGTAAGTCGCATGGTGGGAGGTATTAAGAAGTACAAGACCGTGTATAGTGGTTAATCCTCCCAACAATTCTAAGAGGTAGCTATTACTATCCTCATTTTACAAGTGAGGAATCTGAAGGTCAGAGAGGTTAAATATCTTGTGTCCAGGATGATGAAATCAAGAAGTGACAAACAGGATCTGAGCTCTCAAGCCTAAGCTGCTTCCTGGGTAGGCGGGTCGGTACATCAGTGTTAGGGGGTGACATTTGATTTAGGAAAGAGTGTTAAGAACTTCTCCTAAGGGCCAAGATAACCATGTAATTTTGTCCTCAAATCAAATCAGAAAGCCATGTGTCCGTGGAGCTCTCACTGGGTTGTATTAGGCCAGTCCTCACCCCATTATTGATCAGTGAGGTGCAGGTGTGGCAATGGGATGTGCGGTGTTAGGCGGTGTTAGGCGGTGACGTGCCAGGCTCTCGGCAAAGGTGTGTTAAATTTGGCCTGACGTGGACAGGGGCATGGCCTCTGGGCCTGCCCTGGCATCCTCACCTGTTTCACAGAAAGAGCGAGGGAGAGCGGAGGGAACAAGGGAGGGGGGAGGGGAGGGGAGGATGGGCTCAGAGCCAAGGCAAACACTCCGGAGATCATGAGCAAGGCAGGCTAGTGCTTTGCTAAAACTGCTCTGTGGTGAAACCATCACTGTTCTGCCTAAAACTACAGGATAGCTTATTAATATGGATGAGTTTGGTTTTTAGAAGCAAAGTGGGAGCCACATCTGCTTCCATGTGGGTGAGCAGAGCCTGTTGTTTCTCTGTCCAGCAAGGAACACGGGGTCTGATCCCAACCACACGCCCCACGGCCTCGTGGGCACCAGCCCTCCAGCCAGGTGCTGACATCGCCCTCGCCCTCCCCCGGGCCCAGGGAAGAAGCCGCTCTCCCTCCCCTGCCCCACTTCTTTGCTCTCGTTGTGCTGCTTGTTCCTATTTCTTGCCCTCTTCTCTCCCTATTTTCTCATTTTTCTTCTCTGAGAAACTTGCTCCTTCGACGGGTTGTAGAGCTAGTGGCATGCTCTTCAGAAATGAAGTGAAAATAATTCCGTAGTTTTCCTTCCTTCCTCCCTCCTTTTCCCTTTTCTTTTGATTTTCCCAAGCAGTTCAGAATCCAGAGGTGGATCTCAAGGGCTCCCAGGACAGCCTGCAGGACCGGTTCCGGCCCCCTCCCCGGTGTGGGGGTGGACCGAGCTGTTCCTTCCTCTGCTTTAGGGCTTCTTGGCATGAATGACCTCCTGCCAGGTGGAGGTTTTGCCCGGGTGGCCCCACCAAGGCAAAAACAAGATTTTGTTTATATCAAACGTTAGATCTTTCTATAATATATATCACTTCTCAGCCTTTTGGCTAAGATCAAGTGTAGCTCTTTCTAATATAAAAATTAAGGATGCCTGTAAAATAGAGTTCATAATGAGGCAGTACTTTCAGAGTGAATTTGGCTCAGAGATACAAAACCCTGGGGAATCTTTGAAGCTCCTATTCATTGACCCTCTTACAGGATGGCTGTGGGCACAGAGGTTCTTTCTCATCCTCAAGTGGTGCTGGATGAGACGGGATCCATTCCCCACAGCTGTCTGCCCTCCACAGAACATAATGCCCACAATGAAGGGTTTATCACGCACCCCAGCCATCAGCCTGCTGGAGTGCACCCACTTGGAGTTAAAATCCTCCATATTTCCCAGCTCATTTTTCAGTGTCGTGCTCTGGCATTGCCCAAGGACATTAGGCCACTGGAGTCTGTTTCCACCTCCCCCCCCCCAAAAAAAGCGGCAACACAGCCCTCTCCCAAAATGTCCACAGTGGCCACATCACAGGTAAATGAAAAAATCGCATTTGATTAGTTACTCCAGGTTCCTTTGAGGGTGGTCAATTCAAGGTGAAGTATTCACACTTCTTCAAGAAAGACGCTCATTTTACTGAGGGGGTGAGCATGTGGACATGAAACACAAAAGAAGTAAGTTTATATTTAGGAAGAATTCCTTGCCTATAAAGTTAGGAGCTTCCAAAATAGAGGTTCTAGTCCCTCTCTCCTGTCCTCTCTGACAGGTCTCACTGGCTGAGGAAGGTATGTTTCGCCTCACCTGGTTATTTCTTCTCTCAGGGCAGCAGGGTCTGCAGGGTAAAACTTCACACGGAAACACATGGTGAAGGGAGGCTGGGCTGCAGAGAAAAAGAGGTGCCCATCAGGGAAGACCCTCTGTCCCAGAGATGACTGGGTTCCCTTCCCCACCAGGATGCACAGGCCTCTGAACCCTCAGAAAAAAATCCTCAGATGTTTAGGGCAAACTCGACTCAGCACAGTGGAAAACCACCGAGACTTACTGCAAGTGGCACACGTCATCCCACCCTCCCCAGGGTAGGGCTTGAGTCTTTTCTTGGAGAAAACTTACATCTCAATTGTTTCACCACAGACTTTGTAAACTCCAACCAATGCTGAAACAGAGAACACAGAACAAAAAAACCCAAATGAGAAGCAGTGTCAAATATAGCTTGTTTAATCCAATACAAATAACCAGACAGATTGTGTAGCCCAGGGTGAGAGCAGCCCCAAAGCTTGCGATATGTGGCTTGGAGAGTAAAGAGTGATATGATTTTCTGAAAAGTTTCCCAGGGAACCAGCTGTGAAGGGGAGAAGAGTTCCAGCTTCCGAGGCCATTTCTGGGCTTCCCTGGCAACGCCACCTTCCACAGTCGGGTGCCAAAGTCCACAGCAGGGAGCCAGAGTTCTGAGCCGTGTTCTGGCACACCAGCAGGCACAGGCGAGCCCACGTATGGGTACTGGGTCAGACCCCACCTGGCGTGAGTAGGGAAGTACTGACTGTAACGGGTTGTGTGTGCTTGTGCTATACGCCAACATTTTTTTTTTTGGCAGGGGAACCAAGGCTATTGGTAGCAGCTCTAGAAAGAAATAACAGAATTTCATAAACGGTGTGAAGGCAGGGATGGCTGGTGTAGATTCCATTTTTGTTTGAGTAACAAGGCTTGCCAAACTCTGGGTTAAAGATACACGCTCAGGGTTCCTTGGCATCAGGGATGTTTAAAGTCTGTCGCATAAGGTGACTAACCACAGCCGATGTGTAGGATACTGTCCTGTGTCCCTTGGAATTTCACGGAGGCAGGACATAGCAGCAATGCATTTTCCCCGTGGTACTTATGTTCAGGGAAGGGAGCGATGTGCCCATCCTCTGTGTCCTGGTTCCAGATGGGTACTTTATAAAATGCACTATTGATGTTTGCTGCTTTTATGCTAATGAGGCACCTCCACAATTTGCAGAGCTAGGACTACTATTATTTGGGTTTGCTTTTCTGAAATAGCTTAAAACCATCAGTCGTAAGGTCTGTGAGGGCAGAAAAGGTCTTGTTTACACTGTACTGTCCGGGCTCAGCACAGTGTTCAATAGGCAGCTGTCGGAGGGACAAAGGAACCGGGTCCACATCTCCCTCCTTTCTGGCTACTTCCAGTTAGCGTAACATCTTGGCAGAGTTCTCCCTTCACAGGAAGGCAGGCAGGGCCACGTGGACAGCATCCTGGCCTCCCTCAACTCCCAGCTCTCACCTTCAGTCTGGGCTGTGGGTCATGCAGTTAATGGACCCACTAAGAGCCAGTCCTCCCATCAGCTCCACGTGGATAATCTGTGCTGACATTCTGCTCCCTGGCTTCCTCTGATCTGAGTTCCCACGAGGCGGGCAACTCATTATAGCCACTCAATGTGGTTAAGAGGTCCTTCTCGCATTACACGGCCCACCGCGGCTCTGCTTCACAGGGAAGCAAAGGCAAAAGAGGAAATTGCATGGAAACAACTGGGTTTCCAGGCTGTTGCCTGTGGAGGTGGAGGCGGCCCATCTGATCGGAGCACTCGGGAACTGGACACCGGCAGAAGAACACGGCGGGTGTCAGGGACGCAGTAAACAGTCACCTAGACATTCCACTGAGAGGTTTAAGTAACAAAGAAAGTTAGACAGGGAGAGGAATGACTTGTGAGGTCCATTGCCAGCAGAAGGTAGACAGAGCTGAAGGACAAAAAGGTTATTCCTCTTGGCAAGAGCTGGAGAGAGAGCTGAGGACAGGAGTGAGGCTGGAGGTGAGCAGGAAGGAGGTGGGAAGGAGGTGGGAAGCAGTCACAGTTTGTCCAAGAGACTTTCAGGGTCTGGTAGGGAAATCTTGAAAAGATCCCAAGAATATGGTGATGGCCAGAGTTACCACTGGCATCCATCTGCCTAAATCTGGGTCCTAGAATCTCTTAGCAAACTGATAATAGGGCTTTGGGGAGGAGAGATCAGGAGAAGAGGAAAAAGACTCAGTGTGGGGAGTTTGCTCCTGTCTTTGAGTGAATGGGTGAGCCAATGTGGCAGAATATTCAGACTCCAGAGCCTGGAAAGGGTACCTCCGTCTTGAAAAGAGAGGCTGAGAGCAGGCTGAGGCCCTGGGCCTGCACCAGGAACAGGGGAGTGGGTGATGGGAAGCCAGAATGCCCGGACCCCACGGAGACCCCGGCGGAGCAAGCAGTGAGGAGATGGATGTGAGTGCTGCCCTCAGCATGTCTGGTGCCCCGGGGGGGGGGTATTTCAATGCCTCACACTCAGGGGAGCTGGGATCTTACCTCCTACATCTCTACCATGAACCAGTAGACCTAGGATGACAATTCTTTACAGACTCATTTCCCCACAGCTCTCGAGAGCTCTCTCAAGCCTATCTGCCCTCCTTAACCCCTCCATAAAGGTGCAGAATCACAAAAAATTAGAGGTTCTTGGGTATGAATTCAACATGGAATCTTAGAAACCACACAGGCCCTGACTGGTGTAGCTCAGTGGATTGGGCATTAACCTAGGAACCAAAACGTCACCAGTTCAATTCCTGGTCAGGGCACATGCCTGGGTTGTGGGCCAGGTCCCTGGTTAGGAGTGTGCAAGGGGTAACCAATTTAAGTTTCTCTCATGCATCAGTGCTTCTCTCCCTCCCTTCCATTCTCTCTAAAAAGAAATAAATAAAATTAATTATAGAGAAATCACATAGGCTCTGGGGCAGACAGGTCTGAAGTGGAGGCAGCTTTGCTACCTGCCTTGGGCAAGTTACATAACCTGTCCAACTCTTTATTCACAGATCCAGAGAATGGATCATAGAATTGTGCACACTCATTTTATTTGTGGTAAGGATTAAACAGCATGTGAGAAGCTCATAGCTTAGTGCCTGCTGCAATTCAGTGCTCGGGATCCACCAGCTGAAAGACTCAGGCTCGTGCTTGGTGCGCTCGGAGCCCGGCACACCGCAGCCGCCCCAGGAGAGCTTACTTCTCTTCTCTATTTCCTTATCACCTCTATGCGCTCTCCGATTCTCCTCAAGCACGTTCTGACCCAACTTAAAAATAATGAGCAGGACACATTTGCCCTTGGTTCTTCAGGTGCCACTCTCTTTGGAAGACAAAGAGATCTTAGGCTAACTGCCCTTCCTTCTTAAGGAGAGACAGCTCAGCCCAAAATAATAAACAAATAAATGCCCCAAAGCCCCTTTATAGAAATAGTCCATCATCATCATATAGTGAGTGGACACCTACAGCATGTGAGGACATGTCGCTGGTTGGTGTCAGAGCACTTTTTGGAGTCTTACCCTGTGGCCCAGAGCTAAGGGCAGTAATTATGTCAAGACACTGGAGTGAGACAGCGGAGGGGCTGACTGAACACTACTTTCTAAATACCCATGATGCTCAAAATTCTGCTGAGCCAGGAGTAACGAAATGTCAGCCAAGTGGGACAGGGCTTGTCAGAGTAAGAGACACAGTTCTTTTGAGTCTTTCCTAAAACTCATGTGTTTAGCATAAAACCTAAATGGGACCTGGAGACGCAGTGGCTCAGAGCAGTGATTTTTAACCCATGTGCTGCAAGAAGTTTTAAAACATTCGATACTTGACTATTTAGTCAGGGGCACTGACCTCTTTTCCCTGAGATTATCAAATAAAAAGATGACAACAGCCAACATGCCAATAGCTGTCTGGTGTGAGTGAATCAAAATCATACCTAATTTTTTGTCAGATCAGCAAAAAACAATGTATTTTTTGGTGTGCAGCAGAATTTTAGTAATTAGTTTGTGTGTGTCATGAGATGAAAAATGCCAAAAATCGCTGGCTCAGAGCATCCAAGAATATGGTGAGGGGCGCCCATTCATTCACTGTCTGTGGCCCTGGCCACTGCTGGGAGGCTGCACCCTCGGAGGCTCCCTCCGAGGTTCCCTGCTGGCAACAGAGATGAAGCCCGTGTTTGGAACTGTGAAGAAGATTAGCGCACCCATGAAAAAGGGCCCTCGGGGTTCACGGTGATTGTGCTTTTGGAGGGTGGCAGACAAGACTGAGTGGTAGGCAGGGGTGTAGGGCAGGGAGACATGGAGGCCTGAATGCTTCTGTGTACTGCCCACTTCCATGGGGATGCCAGACAGTGTATCTCCACAGAAAGCAGAGGCTGATGGACGGCGTTGTAGAAACTGCAGGTGTCTGCTAGTGGGCCACCTGGCAAGTGGAGGGGGAAACACGGCAGGCACGATGAACCATCCACTCGCCCACTCATCACTCCTTCGTCAGATGTTTACTGAACATCCACTGCATTCTAGGCCCCATGCGGTCCCATGGGGTGTAGTAATGAATGAGATAATGTCTACGCCCTCATGGGACTTATATTTTTGCAGGGCCCATGGACAACCACAGTAGACGTAGCTACGGCAGGGGGTCATGCAGGGCACGCGGGATACATAGGAGGGCCCCTCGGGCAGAGTGGGGGTGAGGGAAGACTTCTGGAAGAAACGAAAGTCTAAGCTAAGATCTTATTGTGCGAGAAGGAGTTAGCCAGAAGAAAAGTGGGGGGCGTGGGGAAGTGAGGAAAGGGAGAATACTCCAGGCAGGGGGACCCGTACAGGTGAAGGCTCTGAAAAGAGAGAAAGATGACATGTCTGGAAGCCACAGAAGAGTCTGGCTGGGCCACAGCAGGGAGGAGACGGGCCAGAGGAGGTGAAGCTGGAGAGGCGAGCAGGGGCCTGGGGATGATGGACTAGCTCCTCTCTGTCAGGACAGCACAGTCCTGCCAACGCCCTGGGTCTGTAGAGTGGCCCGCACTGTGTAGTGCAGAATAGGAAGTGAAGGGTGTGCAAGAACCTGAAAGGCCTGTGTCACTTTGGCTCCATCTCCCCTCCCAGATGGGGGTGGTGCGGCACCTCAGGTGAGGCTGCTCCTGACCAGAACAACATGGTTGGGCCCATTCACTACAAACGGGCAGGAGAGGGTCAGCCTGTGACCTGGGCTCAGGGACGACAATACTAGCCCAGCTGCTGTCTCCCACTGGACAACTTTGATCAAATCATTTCAGGTCTCCAGGCTGCCACTTCAGCATTAGTAAAACAGTGCGCATACTAGGTGAGTTCTGCTAACATGTCTTCCAGGTCCCATAATGTGATATGAAGAGGTGACACCCAACTGCAGGGTCTGGCTGGTCCCTGACTCCTGAGGCTAGGATCTGGACGTGAGTGGCCATTCAAAGCTTCAGGCTCACTGATCAATCCTCTCCTCCATTTGTGCATTGAATAGTAACTTACCCGCTGCTTATCTGGGTCCACAAAGCGGATCCCAAAATAGTCTTTCTCAAGTAGGTTCAGGTGGTGGCACAGAAGGTCAAACAGGTACTGGCCTTTAGCATCTCTCTGCAAAGAAAGAAAGAAAGCTCCATTGAGAAATGAGAGGGCTTCTCCAGTGGAACTCTGTGTTGACGGCCATTAAAAAATCATTTATAACAGCTGCCTGAGGACAGGAAAGGGGCACCTGTCCATAGCTGTGTCCTCTGTACTGTGATACATTAGATATTCTCTGGAATTCTGAGGCTCTAGAACCTGAAAGGAGCCTAAGAACCCTTCCTTCTACAGAAACGTCAGGGAGCAAGTCAGAGGAGAGTTAGGGAGCCCAGTTCTGATCTCTGATGCACAAAGCTTTCCTAGGAAACGTCAGTGTGGAATACATCACATGCAGCTGCTCTGCCTCTCAAGTGTATCTGAAATCCATTCACTTCTCTCCATCCCCATTACCACGCCACAGGACAGCCACCACCATCTCTCAGCTGGACCACGGCCAGAGCCTTCCCACTGGTTCTCTTCCCCTGCTCGCACCCTCTCTCCACGCAGTGACCACAATTTACTCTTTTTTTACTGAGTAAGTAATACAGGCACCTAGTAAAACATTCAAACATACAAAAAGATACACTGTGAAAAGTCTCCCTTCTACCCTAGTCACTTTGTACCTCAGTTCCTCTCCCCAGAAGCAACCCCTTACCGGTTTCTACGTATCCTCAATGTGGTCCTACAACACAGGCAAGCCTGTGTGTGTGCACACCTCCTCTTTCAAAAACGCCCTGGCAGCACCTTTAGTACTGTGTTCTATTTCCTGGGCTTTTCCTCATTTAAGGGGTTCTTGCAAACCCTTCTGCAGCAGTATATATGTATAAGCCTCACTTAAAAAATATTTTATTTATTTGTTTTTAGAGAGAGGGGAAGGGAAGGAGAAAGGGAGGGAGAAAAACATCAGTGTGTGGTTGCCTCTCACATGGCCCCCACTGTGGACCTGGTCCGCAACCCAGGCATGTGCCCTGACCGGGAATCAAACCAGTGACCCTTTGGTTCTCAGGCCTGCACTCAATCCACTGAGCTACACCAGCCAGGGCTAAGTCTCAGTTTTTAACTGCTGCATGCCACTGCAATGAACCTAAATTTATTTACCTGGCTCCACACTGACAGAATTTGTTTCTAATCTTCCATACAAACCAAGCAGCGGTGAGCACACAATCATCTTTAATCACGTCACCACTCCTGCTTCTTACCACTATTAGTGGCTTTCTGTTGCTCTCAGAATACAGTCCCAACTCTGATGATGGGTCTCCACGGCCCTCTGTGACCTGGCCCTGCCTCTTCTCTGAACTCATCCCAAATCGTTCTCTTCACTCTCTGGCCACACAGCCTCTGTTTCTGAGCACACCAGGGCCCTTCCGCCTCCGCACGTCTCTGTATTCCCTCTGCCCGCACCCTCTTCCACCAGCTCTTCTCAAGGCCACTCCTGTCACTGCGGTCTCAGCTCAAATGTCCCCTCTGCAGAGGGGCCCTCCCCTATAGGACATCCTTGCCCAGTTACTTTCTGTCTCATTCGCCCTGTTTACTTCCTTCACAGCACTGGCAGTAATCGGTAACTATGTTGCTGATTTTTACTTATTTATGCATTGTCTCTTCCCTTTCCAGGCTTTCACTTTCCTGAGGGCAGGAGCCTTCCCCAGAACTTAGCACAGGGCCTGGCGGGTAGGTCCTCAATAATTATTTGTTCAGTAAATGAATGACTGAATGAGTAGAAAGTAAAGGGTTAACTAAAAGGTTTCACAAAATGTGAGGAAATTATGCCATTTCTAAATCCATAACCTTCTCCTTCAGGGACCTGCCTGCGTATCTGGGGTGAGCTGGGAAAAGAATGACTTGCAGGAAGCTGTCAGAACATCTGGAGCTCTGCGAGGCTTCACTCTGTGGGCCTGTCCCCAGTGGTCTCTGCAGCTAAGATATTCATGTCCGGTGGCTCTGTGTCTAATTCTGCATTCAAATCGAGGTTGTCCTATAAGATCCAAAGTATCACCTGTGCCAGGACCAAGGTCATTTACAGAAGGGCCTGGACCTGCTCCACGAAAGGTTTACACCTCACCTCTGCCCTTTCTGCTGGCTCACCCTACGCTACACAAGGAGAACTGGGGCAGGATATCGAATCTCTCAGCAAGTATCTTGATAGCTTGTCCTTGAAGGATTGGGAGGATGAGTGAGTAGACAGACCAACGGTGGAAAGTGGTGCCATGCAGCCCCCACCTTCCTGGTGACCACACCCCCTCTCACAACAACATCCTGAGGCTGTGGGTCCCCTTCTCCCCATCACTCCACCCCCACCCCTTTGGTCTCCCACCAGGAAGAGCTACTTTCAGGACAGACACTTGCTGGAGTCACAGTGGGACTTGTGGGTGGTGGGCTACAAACCAGGTCTTTTGAAGGGTTCCATCACCAACTGCTGTTTGGGGCAGGGCTGCCAACTGTGTCCTTACTGATGCCCCCCCCCCCCCCCAGCGCGGGAAAAGTTTTAACTCGTTTTTAAGGTTCTTCAGGAAGCAGGAGAACTATGTTTAACTCTACCCGAAGGGCACGTCCTGTGCAATTATCCTTCTCAGAGCAACTGAAATGCAATATTAAGAGACAATTGCGTGTTGTGAATATTTTTCTCTATGGATTTTACTTTGCACCAAGCCGGTTACTACACTGTGACCAGCTGGGGTGAGTTAATGGCTGAAGAAGTTTGTTTCCATACATACAACAACCGTATTAGCAGAAGCGTAGGGTGGGCATAGGGAAAATGTGTGTCTGTGATAGAAACCATGAAGGCTTTTCATAAGAATCATGTCTTCCATAAAAACAACCCATTCTCAGGGGCTGGCAGCTCAAACACACTTGTAGGGCTCCTAGTTCAGCAGGTCCGACCTGAATTCTCCCACCTCACAGGAAGAAAAGGAAGCACGGCCTTCCTCTTCAGGCAGTTATAAAAAAAAAATCCCATTACATATCTCCTATATCAATAAGAAAAGGATTTTTTTGTTATTTCTCAGCATCTAGTGGAACTGCTGTTCCCCATCGTGAAGTCACAATCCCCTCAGGTTCCCGTTTACCAGTGGTAGACGCCTCACTCTGAGCTTAGAGGCTCTTGTGCAGACCCCTGAGGAGAAGCATCTTCCTTTGTTGGTTTTCCAAAGCTGGAGGGTGGGAGGTGAGGGGAGTGGTGAGAAAGAGAGGAACAGAGCTTCTGCTTATGGCAGAATCCATGAAGTTTAAATTCCCGGCAGAAACACAAAGGCAGCATCAACTCACGACCTGGCTATCCAGTGGAGTACTCACGTCTGTGGCTGGTGGGGCGGCCTAAAGCAGCCCTCAGGGGGAAGTCACATTCGCCTGAACCATCGTGGTGGGCTTCCTATGACAAGGTGCTGGAAGGTACAGGAGTGTAGGATTTTTAAACTTCCTGGCCTTGTGGGTCCCCTGGCACTTCCAGGTGCTGGCAGTATCTTATAACTTTCTGTCTGTGGTCTTCCTGTCCTAAGTTTGGGTCTCTCTGGAATATTCTGTGGCGGCCAACCTCTTTTTGTTGGATAGCAAAGTCCAGTGAGTTCTATCTTCTTTCCCTTCGCCTGCACTTGCCCTGCACTGCGGCTGACCCATTGCTGTGTGCTGTGCAGTTGATTACTGAGGAGAAATGACAGATGATAATTGTCTGGTCACACTGTCAGGGCTCCAGGCCTGAAAATGTTTATCTTCAGGACAAGGGAGGAGCTGAGGCTGCCCAAACCCAGCTAAACCTCTGAGCTTCTCTTCCTAAAGTCATTGTTGGGTCACAGTAGCTTATTAAGCACCCATTAAAAAATAAATTTGTATTTTATGAATCTCAGTAGTACCCACATATGAATATATGAAAATAGTGCATATAAATCAACTGTGAGAATAATAGTGCGTATAAGCCAACCCACTTCACCTGTCCATATGGTGCATGGATGATCTGTGAGGCCCTGAGAAGCATTCTGTAACTCTGAGGCTAGGAGAATAAGGCTAGTAGCACATTCTTGCTCCTCCCTGGAGCACCTGGTTCTGGTTCTGGTTCTCTATGGTTTGTCTATTCTTTGGGGAAGGGACTGAGGCAGCAAGCAGTAAGCAGGCTTGGGCCAGTGACTTAAACTCGTTAGTCAAGGTTAATTGCATTTTCTGCCTCCTAATCAACACCCTTAGGCAAGACAGCACTTTTACTTGAACCCATCGTGGGGTCAATCCCAGGGACACTGACAGGGTGCGTCCTCATCGGAGGGGCTAATGTGTAGAAAGCCCCCACTCACCAGGCCTCCCCTTATTCAATCTGACTTACCTGTGAGGCAGGCCAATTTTAAGAGCAAACTATGTGAATCTTAAAGAGGCCAAGAGTGAGCCCAACTTTCTCGGCTTCTGGGCCACAGGCTGTTAAACGGAGAGCGGGCCCTCGTTTCACAGGCCTGGCTGCAGAGGAGGTACGACAGGGGCAGGAGGCTATGAACACCTGCTGTGCAAAAGCACAGGAGTTGGGGTGGAGAAAGGCCTCGCCAGGGCAGCGGTGGGTGGAGGAGGGGGCAAGTGGTGTTCTCAGAGGCCTGACAGGGAGGGATCAGGCACTAGGGGTGGGATGGCATCTCAGCCTCTATTCTAGTTTAACTTTCTATTTAAATTTCTTGTAGGCCAAGACTCTTTTAAAGGCTTTCCTTATCAGTGTCCTCCAAGGGCACGTGTGTGCTGATGTCTGCCAGGTTCAGGAGCAGATGCTGTAAAAAGCACTTTAATGTCACAGAGGAACAGCCACATTAGCTCATCTGCTCAGGGTCGTAGTGAGTAAGCTGAGCTGAAAGGTGTGAATCCATTACTACGGGGCAGTCCTACCTCTGTGTTCACGCCCCACACCCAGCCCAGCTTCCCAAGGCAGAGGGAGGATAAGGGGCACGGATACTAACAGCAGGGCCCCAGATTTCTTAACGGCAGCAGCTTCCATGCTGATCTACATTTTCTTTGATGGGAAGAAACCCCTGCTGAGCTCCTGGCCCAGGAGCCCACTTCTCTCGCTTGGTCCC